GCCCTCGAGGCCAGGCTGCAGATGATCCACAGTGCCTCCGCGGAGAGCCTGCGAGCCCAGGTGGCAGCCACGTGGCGGGCCCAGGAGGGCAGGGCGGCCGCGCTCGTCAGCTGGGATCGCTTTGCTTCTCTCCAGGAAGCTCAGGTAACAGCTCTGCTGCTCAGGCAGCCACACCGCCCTGGGCCGGGGTGTCTTTGTGGTTTCTCTCATCCCCATGTGGGCTCATGTGGGTGCTGAGGTCAGGCCCCAGGTACCGTCCGGAAGCCTACAGCTAAAGGTGCTGTGGATGCCCTTCTGTGCACTCTGTACCGCCTCCGTCCGTGCGCGTCCTCCATGTACATCCTCACGTGAGCGGCTGCTACACCGAGAGGGAGAGGGACAAAGGCAGGGGTGGGCTGACGGGATGGCCTTCAGGCAGGGCATCCAGGGCCCTAGCAGGAGGGCTCTGTCTGCGTGCTAGTCCCGAGCTCTGTTGTGGCACCCACCTTTCTCCTGAGTGCTTCCCCCAAATCACTTCTTCCATGTGGGTGCCCTAGATTTCTACAGGGCCGAGCTCTGTTAAGGGACCCAGAGCTGGCCACTGGGCGTTCCAGCCAGGGCTCTGGAGCCCCAGGCCGTCCCCTGTGAGTGCCATAGGGTCGCAACTAACTGGCCCTCCTTTGCGCTCAGGATCTCGTCTCCTGCCTGGGGGGCCCACTCCTCAGCGGTGTGTGCAGGCGCCTGGCTACGGACTTCCGGCACTGCCGAGGGGGCCTCCCGGACCTGGTGGTGTGGAACTCCCAAAGTCATCTCTTCAAGGTCAGCTGAGTCCAAACCCAAAGTCATGGCTGTAATAGTCTTGCAAGGCCACAATGTGGGCTCCTGGGGGCTTCTGCTGCCTTGAGAGCAGACATGAGGGGAGGGGGACAGAGTGGGAGTGGCACTAGCTGTCTCTTCCGTCTGCACTGGGGGAACATGCTTCCATTTCCCTGGTGTGAGGCCATGTCCACACATCTGGGCCACTCCCCCGGGGAGGGACCCCAAACACCTTGTGGGTGCCTCACTGGGTCCCTGCTTGCTGCTCATCCCTGGTTGGTGGCTTTCCTATTGTTCAACATACACTAATCTGAGTGGGGTGGGGGGAGGGGGAAGAGGGAATAAAAAGTTCATGAAATCTGCATGTTTTGAAAAACTACACACAAATTTCAACACTTCATTTTTCCTTCTTGTGCTGTTTTGAATCTCCCTTGTGGTTGTTAATGAAAACTACAGCTTGCTGGGCTCGTTGCTGCATTTCTTAGAAGATACTAATCACTTTTTGAAATTTCCCTTCCAGCTGGTGGAAGTGAAAGGCCCTAATGATCGCCTTTCACCTAAGCAGATGATCTGGCTGGACGAGCTGCAGAGGCTGGGCGCGGATGTTGAGGTCTGCCACGTGGTCGCAGTTGGAGCCAAGGGCCAAGGCCTCAGCTGAAAACCCCAGCACTGGGACTCTGGTCATACACCACAGCAGATCTTCAGAGGAACAGAGCACTGTCTCATTGTACTGCTGTTGCTGCTGGCAGGCCGAGGGCATGACTACTTAGCAACCCACTGTATAATGCTGGAATTGTTTACTTGAAAGTCCTCTGATCCTACATGGTAGCGAATGAACTTTTCAGAAGGACAAGACCGTGGCGGCCATTTGAGGAGCTGCAGGCTTCTGTTGTCAGGCTGTGCTAACAGCTGAAATGAGGTCAGAACAGCTGCAGGGTTTCCAAAGTAGCATGCGTCCTAAAAGTATGTTGGAAATGGAGATTCTTGGGCTTATCAAAATTTTTCTATTACTACTTTACACATCAGCTATTAAACATTCATGTTTTATGTGTATCCACCAAGGGCAGAAACCACTTGAATTGATTTCTTTGGCAATGTTTTTATTTATTTTAAAAAAGATTTACTTATTTTTATTGGAAAGGCCTATACAGAGAGGAAGAGAGACAGAGGGGAAGATTCTCTGTCCACTGATCACTCCCTAAGTGACTGCAATGACCGAAGCTGAGCCAATCTGAAGTCAGGAGCCAGGAGATTCTTCCAGGTCTCCCACACGGGTGCAGGGTCCCAAAGCTTTGGGCTGTCCTTGACTGCTTTCCCAGGCCAGAAGCAGAGAGCTGGCTGGGAAGTGGAGCTGCCTGGATTAGAACTGACATCCATATGGGATCCTAGTGCATGCAAGGCAAGGACTTTAGCCGTTAGGCGACCACGCCGGGCCCATAGCAAAGTTTTTTAAAAAAGCAAAATTCCTATGATGTCGCTCTTCTGCCTAGGACTTCCGTAAGTGCTTGCTCTCATCAGCAGGGCCGGCTCAGCGCACGAGAGGCCAGGCTTCCTCAAGCCAGTGTCCCTTCTCAAGAACAAACCTGAAGGGGTGGGTACTTGGCGTCACGGGTGCTGCAGCTGCCTGTGTGCCTGGAGGAATGTTTGCACTTTCCTAGTGTCCTGGCTCTATTCCTGACTCGATCCCTGCTAATGCACACGGTGAGAGGAGTGTGGGATAGCCCAAGAAACTGGCTCTGAGTTGCTAGCTTGGGTCTGGCTCAGCTCTGGCTGTTGCCTAACGTCTGGGGAGTGAACGGCTGAAGAAGTGATATCTGGTTAAAAAAAAAAATCCCCCCTAACTAACTAGATTGGGGATGTTTTTAAATATTGCTATGATAACTACAGAGATGGGGGGGACTCAGACTGGGGCAGGTTTATGGAGTGAAGGTACTTCTGGTGAGCATGGGCCCCGCAGCCAGGGACTAGTTTAGGTGCCCATGCCCTGTGTGGGCAAACTGAGTTTCTGGTTGTGTACTTACTGACAAGGACTGGTTAGGTCATGGCTCTGGAATATCCACGTGGACTTGACTACAGCCAGCACTGACCTGATGCCACGCGTGTGAGTTTACCCGACTGCTTCCTCGCCCTGGAAGCAGCGTGCAGCAGTGATGTGGGTGGCATGCAAGTGCAGGGAGACGCCCTGGTGTCTGCAGTCGCTGTGTGCAGGGGTGATCTCACACTGAGGACCACAACAGACAACGTGAATGTTTTATTTCACACTCACTTTTGTTCACATTCATTCCATTAACAACACCTCATCTGGCTGCACATCCTACTTCAGCTCAAGTCATGAGTTTAGGCATAAAAGTTTTAGTTTTCTCTCAAAATCAAGTTTTGATTACACGAGGTTACTGCTAGCAAGCACACTTTGTACCCTCTGTTAGTACAAATTAATATCCTTTCCTTAAATAGTTAAACATTTTTGGTTTTAAAATGCCATCATAAAATATCAGTTAAGACACTGCACATCTCTAAGTTCAACAACACCAGGGAGAATGACACGGTGGCATCTGTGAGGCATCCCAGCAGCCTGGGCGCCACTCGGAGCTGTGGGCACAGAAAGTGCAAAAGTGCCCGTGGTGCCCAGCAGGGAGCCACACGTGCCCCTTCTGTCAGCAGAGGTGCCAAGCAGCTTTACAGGGGCTGGGACTCCAGGCTATTCTAGTTGTTCTTCATATTGTGCCAATGAACGGTGGCACAATAATCATGATATAACAACTCTCCAGCAAAAACATCTTACATTTGATTATCCTACAAAAATATGCACATTTTCTATTTAAAAACAGTATTAGTACCTAACTTTTAAAAATATATAAATTTAAAGAATTACCAAAGAAGTTCAAATATTATAAAAAGAAAATTAGATAAATGCTCAGTCCAAAAAATAACCTTAGAACAATGTGTAAAAAGCAGCTTACTGTAAAAGGGAATTATTATTACACTTTAAATGGCACAAATTCTGGGTGTTTTAAAAGGACCTGGGCCATTTTCCAAACAAGACATACAGAACGCTTGATGACAATAATGCCATTTATACACCTTAAAAGGAGCCTTCTTTCTGAGGCAAAACGTTGGCAAAACCATTGGCTTTATCCTCACGGTGAATTTCCCAAGACATTTTATAAGAATTCCTGTTAAATCAATACACATTATGAAACAATTCAAATAGAGCTATTCGGTACATACAGAGGCACAACACGATCTTAAAAACACTTGTGTCACAAAAGGATCTACACGAGACAGCTGGCTCTGAAAGCTCCCCAAGCGCGAGATGGCAGCTTGAGGACACCATCAACAGGCATGTCATCTCCCTGGGGGAACGGGTCAGGCAGTGTGCAGCTCGGCCTGCCTGCTGCGGGCTGGCCCGGCCCTTGGGAGCAGGCGCAGCCTGGCAGAGCTACACCGGGCCTCCGCCTCGGTACTGACTAAGGAGTTCTCTTGCCTCCCTCCTGTGCTCTATTCCTCTGCAGTGAGAACCTGGAGAGGACCGGGGTCCATGTAGTGGCCCAACAGTGGCCACATTAGCTCTTTTCCCCGGGAAGTGCCAGCAACAGCTGACCACACTGTGGACTGATGGGCAACCCTGTGGCCTGGACAGCACTCAGCTTGAGCACTGCCAGGGCTGAGGCTGCACTCTGGCCCCGGGGCTCCGAGGGGCCTCCTGGGAAGAACTACAGGCTGGCCTTTGTAGGGTTTCAGGCCCAGGGATTCTGGGTTGTAAGAATGAAGCTGTTAAACTGTTTCCAATATATAGGGGGATTTTAACTCCCCAATTTGAAAAGTGAATTATTACTTATATCTTAAAGGCACTTGTAGGTTTAATTGTGTTATCTACTGCAGACGCTTTTAAAGTTAACAGCATGTCATTTTAAATAGTCCTGTTCAAAGCAAACTCATGATTTGAAAACAGTCATCTAAGATCCCAAGCAAAGTGATCTTAACACGGTAAATTCTGGCCTGGGAACACTGAAACCCCATCTGGTGCATTCAACTAGAGGTACAGAGGGAACCAGACACAGGAATACCCAGCAACGCTCGGTGGCTTCTACCACACGTTTCTGAAAACATCCCTCTCACCTGGTGTCTGCTGCTTTGGCTTGTTAAGCTGATCAAATCAAGGAACCTTCAGTAGGTAGTAAGAACAGACAAACACCAGACAAAGCCTGGAGTGGGGACTGCGTGCCTGCCTTGCCACACCGACAAAGAGGACATGAAAAAGGCTACATATAAAACTGAAGGAAGCATGATCCAATGTTTCCAAATACTAGTGCAAATTCCACCTGTTTTTCTTACAGATAAAAGTTATCAAAGATTTAAAAGCCTGGGTTAGCACTTCTAATTTAGAGGCAAAAAAAATTTACAGCTTCCTTCAGAATATTTAGAAAAATACTACACTTCAGTCTTCATTTGCTAGTGTCTCAGTAGATAACCAAATTTTGGCTCCACTTAAAAATTTGCTCAGTGGCGTTCCCAAGATGCTTCGTCTGCACAGATTGCCGACAGGAGAGAAAGGGAAGGAGGAGGAGAGGAACTCGGGCGTGGTCGCAGCCTCCAGCGGGCCACTGGCTCGGAAGTACAGCCGGCTCTGCTGCAGCTCGCCGTAGCAGGCTGCCAGGGGGCCGCCATGCTGCTGCCGCAGCATCCTCCCCAGCACATCCACCTCGTCGGCCAGCAGAGAGAGCTTGTGGAAGGCAGTGATGGAGCCACCTTGGCTGATCTGTGCCTCAGGGACCCAGCGGAAGTAGCACAGCTTCCAGAGCTTGATGTGCATCCCAGACAGATGCGGCAGAATCGTGCCGTGCAGGTCGCATGGCTTGGAGAACCACGCTGCGAAGTACCGCTCCGCATCGCTGCCCTGGCCAGTGCTGTGCTGAGGCGGCTCCGGCTTCAGTTTCAGGATGAGGGAGTTTCTCCTGGGCAGAGAATTGTGCTCGCTGAGGAGTCCGTTCCGGAGGGGTGGTGGCATTCCTCGCAGAGTGGAGCTGTAGTTTTTCTGTGTACAAGAGAGACAGGAGTCACTGTCCTAGAGCCTCCCTTTCAGAAAGGCCATGTCACCCCGGGATCATGGCTGTCAGCCTCGGGCACTCGTCCACTCTAGGAGTGTTTCCAAGCCACCTTCTCTAAGTTGCAGCCTTTCAGGCACTGGCTGCCGAGGCCATTCTCACACCTGTGCTGGGCAGGGGAGGGAGGACTCTCAACCCATCAGCTCAGGTGCAATTTCTGTCTTCCAACAACAAAGAAATCCACTCCTGGTGGATTCTAGAAAGAAAGGCAGACCTAATGGGTTGAGGAAACTGGTCTCCCTCTGGCCAACAGCCAGGTGCACATCAGGACTAGCGGCCTCAGACACAGAGGTCAGGAGATGACCATCTAAGTTAGAATGCAACGGTCCTCAGAACCCTGTGTCCACAACGCTGGCTGTGACAGTGGCTTTCTAACACTGTGGTGGGCCCTGAAAAAGCTGCATCTGTGCGAGGTGATGGCAGGTTTCAGGGCACGGTCATGGCTTACCTTAGTCCGTTTCACAGACTTGGCCGAGCCGTTTTGCACACAAGGCATGCTTTTCCCAATGTAGAAGGGGTTATGGAAAAGTGTGCGGTCCTTTGCCGTAAACTGAAGCGACCAGTCCCAAACTGAGGGGAATTTTAAGCCCTTTTCATCACCCAACTGAATATTTTTGCTTATAGCAAATTCCTGCAAAAGGAAACAGTTGAACATTTGTAAGAAGATGCAAAACTAAGGACTTGTTGGAGCAGCTGTCTCTAGGCAGATGAAAAGCTTGGCACTTGGAGCCCATCAGAACAACACTTCCACTGCAAGCCCCAGGAGAGTAGCATCAAGGCCTGAGGGACACACACTCCCTGCTCAGCAAGTAGCAGGCTCACCAGCTGCCCCTGCACCTTGGGAAATACCAAAGTTGTGCCTCTGAGTAAGGAGTGCCACGGGTAGAAACAGACTTTTACTATTTGTAAAATTCTGTCTGTCCAAGCTTCCGTGGGGGCCTGGGCTGGCTTAGCTCACTCGCAGCAAATGGAGGCCATGCAAGGCCCCGGGGTGAAGGCCAGCCCCTCACCACGCCAGAGAACCTGTCTTCCCGGGAACGGCCCAGACCCACACTCTGCAGACAACACTCCGCAACAGGGAGAAAGGATCTCCAGCAACGCAGGCCACACGTCCTTTGCAGGAAACAGCCAACGTATTCACTGAGTCCTGGGACGCAATAATGATCTTATTTTCTGTTTTGTAGTAGTTCTTTCCCAAAATGTCTACAAAACCCCAGGAATTTCCTTAGAAAACAGGAAGAGTAAGGAAGCCATGAGAAAGCTATTGTGACACTGTGAGGGCTTCCAATCATCAGGACATAGTTAAGGTATGTCATCTATACCATGCAATGTTTTTCTAAAAAAAAGTTTTAAAAATTTTTCTTTGACCAGTATTGTGGCATGGTAGGTAAAACCACTGCTGGTGATGCTGGCATCGCTGTGAACAAGGGCTTGTATGTCCCAGCTCCCTGTTGACAGCCTGGGAAAAGCACTGGAAGTTGGCCCAAATGACTGGGCCCCTTACCATCCACAGGGAGACCTGGAAGAAGACCCAGGCTCCTGGCCTGAGCCTGGCCCAGCTCTGGCCATTTTGGAACTGAAGTAAGTGGCTGGAGGATCAATTTCTATCTCTCATCCTCTCTATGTGATTGCCTTTCAAATCAATTTTAAATAGAAATAAATCTTTGAAAATAACACAAAAGGAAATGCAACTCTTAGTCAACGGTCAGTTCCTCGCTGGGGAGGAGAGAGGGGAGGGACTGATGTTAGTACTTGTCAAAGAAAGTTTCTGAGAAAAGGCAAATCACAAATACATGAACACAATTAAAACAACAAAAATATGTATAGCACTAGGACATGAAACAAGAAAAGCAGAGGAAACCATGTCTTTAATATCCTAGATGGAAATTTACTGGTCAGCATATCTCAACACATCTGGGATCTGAGAAGGCAAAGCAGGCAGTGTGTGTCTCCGGACCACAAAGTCTGCTGCTTGGGTGCCCACCTGCATCACTGCGACACCACAGCCAGCCTCCTTGTTTGCAACTCTGGTGTGGCTCTGCTGCTAGATTCCTCCCAAAAGCCTCCCGTTGTTTTGGAGGTTCATGCTGAGGGTGTGTGTAGGGGTGCCCCAGCACTGACACCAGGCAGTGAAGAGAGCAGGGCAGAGGAGTGCCAAGGGGGCAAGCAGCCAGGGTGCCAAGGCTCGCAGCAGAGGACATGCACAAACTGACAGGAGTGAGAATGTAGGAGCAACTGGAGACGGCTGGCCCAGGAGCAAACCCGGCCCGGCCCTCGCCCAGTGCTGAGAGTCACTGAGGCGTGGGCTCTGCGAGCAAGCTAGTTTTGTTGTTACTGATGTTGTTGATGGAACGCTCCCTACTGCAACAGGTAAATAAAGTGAGCTCCTCGGCTGTCCTGCACATCCTGTCCCCTGCCCTTACAGTCCAGAGCAATCCTTCCTTCTTCAGGGCAACCGGCACATGGGTTCTCACGCTGCACAACTGCGTGCTGTGGGGTCACTCCACAGGGGAGGAGCCTGAAGGGCCCAGAACCAGCTTCTTCTCAGGCCAGGGCCAGGACGCAGGCCACCTACTTCCGGCCCAACGCCCAACGACTTTTGGCCGAGGCTGGAGACCCTGAGCTCACGACGAGGGTCAAGTCTGTCATGACTGAGGCTCACTTCTAGGCTTTCTGCTCTTCAAGAAAAATAACCTTTTATTCTACAACTTTTATTCTACTGACTGAGGAAATACAGGTCTCCAAAAAGAATCTTATTACTTAACAGCCCAAATGTGAACAATACAAAAAGCATTCATGGTGGTTAAACTAGGTAGCACCTTTCAACTGTTGTCTATGAACAATTTTCATCACCGAGTAAGAAAATGTTCATCACAATGAAATAATCTACATTTTTATCCTTAAAATAATTTACACAAACTTGCAACTTGAAATGGTAATAAGAGTTTTGAACTGTATGTTTTTAATATGCAGTTAACTGTACCTCAACTATACCACTACTAAGTCATTGGGGAAGAAACAGGAGCCACAGGCCACTTACGGTGCTCTGCTTCACCCGCTGGTGGGGCGAGTTGAAGAGGAAGGTGCCGAACAGGGAGATCCGGGTGCTGTCGCACAGCACTGCTAAGTAAGTCTCCGAGAACTCAAAGGCTGCTGGGTACTGTTCCAACAGCTGCCACGTGGCATCCAGGAAGAGCAAGAATAACGGAGACTGCAAACACAAGCCATGGGATTAGTCAGTGTTGTCCTTCGGCCATTCACATTTCCAAATTTATGCCTGATACTAAAGAAATGGAAGTATGCAGCTACAGACCCATGACTAGATAAGCATACTGGACCTAGGCATTTGTCAAATGAGTGTAACAAACTGGAATGGCAAAGTGACACATGAGTAAGTAGAAACAAGGAACAAAACATGCATGAAAGCATGTCCTGGAACATTCTTTAGAATAATGGTCAACTTCTGTGATTCCTTTCAGATTGCCCTCTAGGCTCAGTAACCAGAAACTTTCCCTTAAGTTTCAAAAAAAAAAAAAGTTTTGAGCGTGGCCTTGAGGCCTCATGGTGTGTCCCCAGCACAGCAGCTGGTGACTGCTGTTTTCTGAGACACTCCTGAGTCAAATGGAGCTCTCTCAACCCCCAGCATGTGGGTCTCCTTGGCCCGATCATGGATCAAATGCAATCATTAATCCCACATTCTTAACCCATGTGCTCCATTGTTAGACAACATGCTATTCCAAAATAATTTTGAAGCCAGACAAATTCAACATTTTTCAAACATTCCACCCGGGTGGGCACAGTAATCTTTCTGCGGTAGAGTACATCAAGTTGACCTCTAACCCACTGGACAGCCCTGGCCTGGGGCTGTGGTAGACGAAGCAAAGCCCTGATCTCCTTTCGCATGGGCATGCAGACTGTTACCTCTTTCTCCGATCTCTTTAAATGGTTGCATCTGTCCAGGAACGGGTATCCTGACATAACCCACTCCTTCTGAATCAGACTCTGAAACCCGGTGATCGTCCTAAAGTGAGGATCCAGCATCACTTGAATGAGAGAAGCCACCAGACAGCTCAAGTCTCTTCCCTCCTCCTCTGTCAATAAAATGGAAAGGAAACACTTACTACAGAGAAAAGTGCTGAAAGGGAAGGTGGATAAATGGGTTGTTTTTCACTTGGTAGGGTGCCTTCAAAACAACTTGTGTAAGGAAATTTGACTGGATCCTAGCAACCTGAAAATAGTAGACTGATAAATAAACTAAAATAGTACTAACAGGAGCTGCTCTTTTATAGACTAATGCAAGGAGCACTGCAGACACAGGAGGACAAAAGGACTGAAACATTTCTCTCACACCCCTCCCCCACACCTCCATCCTCCCCACCGGAGTCAGAGGCCTGCGTGGGAATGCGTCCTCCTCAACTATATAATCGATACTAAAAATAATCATTTAAAAAGGGAGAAAGTTGTCAGGATCCTGATTAGGCAGACAGTTCTTAAATAGAACATACAAAACATGATCAAAAAAAGAAAAAATGCATAAAATGAACTTTGCAAACACTTTAAAATGAGCGCTTCAAAAGATATCATGAAAACCAAAATGACATGCTGGGAGAAAATATATAAAGTTATATATAAAGGTAAGTATCTAGAATATATAAATACTCCTAAAATTCAATAGTAAGATGAAATACGTTAGAAATTCAAGTGAAAACTACAATGACCTACTAGGATGACCCCAAAGACAAAGGACAGTGCTGGGGGAGGTGGAAAAGCTGGGGTCCTCCCAACTGCTAAGGGCAGAGGGAAATGCACACAGCCCCTAGAAAACGGCCCGACGGTTTCCTAAAGAGCTGGCCACAAACAGATCAACAACTCAGCAATTCCACTTCTATATATCTACCCAAGAGGAATAAAAACGTGTGTCCTAAACATTTTCAGGTGAATATTCTTCAGAGCATAGTTATAAAACCCAACCAGCAGAAACGAGCCACATGCCCATCAGGGAAACGAAGAAACAATGAAATTTTTAAAATTGTAACACAATTCAGAAATAAAAGTAAGGAAGCTGCTGACAGGTGCTATGTAAATGAGCCTCAAAAAGCATTTTAAACGAAAGAAATCAAAGACAAAAGAAATACTAAATGATTGTTTTATATTAAATACCTAGAAAAGGAAAATCCTCAGAGACACAAAGTAAATTACTGCTAGGACACAGAAATCCTTTTTGGAGTGATGAAACATTTCTAAAACTGTACTCTTTATTAAAATTATTGGTTTTTTTAATTCTTCCTTATTAAAAATTATTGTACATTTAAAATGAGTGAACTTTTACAGCATGTAAACTCTCTCTCTAAATACTGCTTCAAAAACAAGAAAAATGCAGGCTCAGTGCTTCCGCTGATACCTTTTATATTATAAATGCAAACAGAAGTCAAGGGTAGGTAGGACTGTCCAGGAAGATGAAAACACCTGCCGGCTGAGAGGAGAAATAAGCTGATTTGGGGGTTTTTTCCTGCATTTGTGAATTAAATACAAATTTCATATCAAAGAATTGCTGAACTATTACTTTTTTCCCTTTAGGGCTTTAAGTATCTTTGCCTTATTAAAGTCAGTGTCTGACTGTTAATAAAAATATTTCCGAAAGCTAAACATTCTGTGCTCACTTAAAATGTAATGTGAATGTATTACAAAAGGGTAGTTCAAACTTTATCTGTATACTCAGAAATTCTGTTAGTTGTAAAGTCATTTAATGTAAAGTTATCCTTCGAGTATCTCAACCAGTTTTACACTGCAGCTATATTAGGCACAATTAACATGAATTCTCAGGCCAGCCAACTTCTTCACATCAAGCTATTGCCTTAAGAGTCACAATCTGGCATGAATCAGAGGCATTTAAAGTTAAAACAAATGTGTGCAAATAAGAAAAACAGCAAGATTAGAGAAACAAGTTTAATACTATACATAAATCCACAATGATGTGATTCACTCTTCCCATCAAATAAAAAATACCCAGCAAAGGTAGAAGATGAGATTCCCAGGGCTATTGTCTCGCTTTAACCATGTGCAAGGCCTGAAGTACATCTCATGGTATTCAGTCAACAAACGGAAGCTGAGGCTGACGGGTTTGTTTGGATGTGGACAGTCTGGGGAGGCTGGCATGGAGTCATGATATTTTTACAAATTACTTTAATTACCTTGTAGGACTACAGAGAGATGTTTGCTTTCTAGTACGTATACAAGTTCTGCTGAATGTTTAAGGAAAACCCTGAAAAGACAAGGAAAAATACTGTTAAAAATTAAATCTGCACTGTGAACATTTCAAAAGTACACAGCTTGCTTTGCGGCACTTCCCTTTATTGTGTGTCACAGACACTCATGTTTTGAACATTGGAGGTTAGCTGTGTCCCTGTGTTCACCAATGCCACTCTTCCACCAGCAGGTGCTGTGTTCATGAACTGTGCTCTTGTAAGAAGGCAAATTTAACTGCTAAGTGTCATATGTGCTCTGACTGTTCCACTGAGACTATCTGCTAACTCTGAGCTCTCTCCTTTTCCTTGGGCCCAAGCCCAAGATACAAAAGTACTGGAAGTGGGCCAATGGCTAACTGTACCATAACCTCTGATTGTACAGTGAAAACGGATGAATCACATACCTCTCACTTGAAATCAAGGACTGAAAATGATTAAATTTATCAAGGAAGGCATGTGAAAAGCTGATACAGGCTTAACACTAGGACTCTTGGGCCAAACAGGCAAGTTGTGCCTGTGAAGGAAAAGTTCTTGAAGAAACTTAAGAGTGCTATATACTCCCCCAAGGAAACCAAAAATTGCAAAAAAGTAAAATTGTCTTACGGCTGATAAGCTTTAGTGGTCTCAAATGGAAGATCAAACCAGCCAAAACATTCCCTAATGTTGCAGTCCAACCCTGAACCCATCAATCTTCGTGGTAAGATAGCTCAGAGCTGAGGATGCCCAAGAAAGTCTGCAGCTAGCAAAGGTTGCTCAGGACACTTCATCTCTAACATGAAAGTGCCAGGTGCAGCAGCTGCTGCAAGCTACTGAAAGATTTAGCTAAGGGAACCAATAAAGGTGGCTACACTAAACAGATTCAGGAGAAAACCAGAAGATCCTATCTAGAATCTTCAGAGCTAGAAAGCCAAAGTTAAGGCTGGCCGAAGTCTCCAAGAACGGACTGACTCTTTCGTTAGGGTCTACCATATCCAGTTCATGTTGAAGCCAATGGTTACGACTCACTACAAAGAATTCCACAAAATCTATTCTACCTGTGTTCTACTAATGGAACAAAAGAGCCCAGATGACAGTATGTCTATATTTACAACATGGTTGTAATGCTAAGTCCACTGTTCAGAACCAACAGTTGACAAATACACCTGGTCACCCAAGAATTCTAATTAAAGTACAAGACTGTTGTTTTTATACCTGCTAGTATGGCTTCCATCCTGGAGCCCATGGACCAAGCAGCAATCTCAGGGCCAGCTTTGTGTCATAGTGGGTTAAGTCACAGCTTACACCAGCAATAGGTACCAGTTTAAGTCCCTGCTACTCAGCTTCCAATCCAGCTTCCTGCCGATGCACTCTGAGAGGCCACTGAGGGTGGCCCAACAACTTGGGCCCTTACCATAACGTGGGAGACCAGGATGGAGTTCCTGGCTCCTGGAGTTGGCCTGGACCACTTCTGGTTGTTGTGGCCATTTGGGGACTGAACCAGCAAAAAGAAGATTGACAAAAGATAGATGCATCTCTCTATCACTCTTTCAAATAATACATACACCTTTAAAAAAAGAAATAAGTTCAACTTTCAAGTCTTATTTAAGAAACAGATTTTCATAAGGCCACAGTGATGGATCTGGCTGAACTGAACGCTTCTATAAAGGATTCTCAATGCCTTTAAGAACATCTTGTTCAAAGAAGGACTCATAATGAAACTGTTAAATATAAATATATCCTGACAATAGGATGGTGGACTTTCTGCCACTGTCCATACTTACACTTAAATAGCTGAACAATGGACTGACGACTGTTTATGAAGGATTATGCAACTGTAATGATATAGGGAAAATCAGTGTGTGTGTTGGGCGGGTACTGACTTAGGGAGGGAAGTTCCAGAGCCTATGGAACTGCATCATCAAATAATAAAAATGAAAAAAAAAAAAGAACATTTGTGACACAAAGGAGGGTGGCAATGTGGGGGTAGTGGTTGACATTATCAACATTAACATGAATTTTAAAGAGCCTGATTTCAATGCTCATGGAAGATTCTGAAGGGCAGAAGTAACCACAGGTACGGCACAAAAGGCAAGATATCTAGGATTTAACTGATGTAGCATCACGAGACCATTTAACAGCTGTCGAGTCACTTCTTATGGACAAGCCAGGAAATGGCGTTTTGTGACAAAACCTCCTCCTGGGGAAGGTGCTGTGAGGAGCACTGAACGTCAATAAGGACCTGGACCGTCATCTAAACTCAGCTGTCAAGGCAGTGGCGGAACGTGACAGGATGACCTCCACGGGGAAGTTCCAGCATGGTGAGCAGCACACCTACAAACAGCAGCGCACATTCCAGCAGTCCTTCATCAAAGGCCGTGTCTGTGGACGAAGCCCACATCACCGCTGTCTTACTTTAAAGCACGGTCACAGCCACCTGTCTTCAGCAACCGCCACCTGGGTCAGTTGGCAGTTATGAGCACAGAGGCAAGACTCTACCAGCAGAACCGGAAGGACTCAAGGACCTGCTCGAAGCTCAGAGGTATGTCAGCAGTTTTTAGCAAGATGGTATTTTTAAATTAAAGCATGTAGACTATTCTTTTACACATAATGCTACTGCATATTTCAGGCTACAGCATAGCACAAACCTAACTTTTACATGCACCAGGAAAATCCAAAAATCTGTAAGACTTGTTCTATCATGATATACGCTTTACAGCAGTGGTCTGGAAGCCAACCTATAATTCCTTTGAGGTGTGTGTGCGCCGGAAATGAGACAACTCCAGTCTTTGCCTACATGCATTTGTATTCTCAGCCTTCAGGATTTCTTTGGTATTTATGTGATTCTTTCAGAGTAAGTTTTGAGATCCTTCATAAACTCTTCATAAAAAGGAAGGGGCTGTCTAACACAACATTCACGAAATGGCTAAACTATGTAATTAGAGATGAGTGGCTTCCTGGGCACAAGGATGAGGACAGAGGCTGTAACTGTGCAAGGGGCACATCCTGCGGCGACGGGGCCGTTCTAGGCTGCGATGCAGATGCATGTGATAACACCTGCACACACACCCACATGTGAAGTATGATTTAGACCAGTAAAATCTAAGACTTGTCAATGGCAGAAATGCCAATTTCCTGGTTTTGATGCTCTAAGCCCACTACCCAAGCTGTTCGCACTGTGCAAAGGCAGGTGAGGAGTTCATGGATTTCTGTACTATTTACATACCTCTTGTGAGTCTATCCTTATCTCAAGATAAAAAGTTAAAGAAAAAAACAAAGTTGTACAAACCTGACATATTCCAACCACCGGGTACTTTCTAGTGAAGACAACCATTTCTCTTCCGTTTCTTCAAAAGGCTCTGTAATAAATATGGCAATTTTATACATGGCTACAGATACAGGTGTATATAAATGCAAACACATTTAGGCTTTTAAAGCTTACTTTTAGATAAGCAACCTGAGAGTGAGGACATAACACCACAGTTCCTAGTATTTAAAAGTTGGCTCTATGGAGCACGGATGTTCACATGAGTGACACAGTACACAGCAAATGATTACACGTTACAACATCTAACACGGCAGAACAAAGCACTCCCCGGGCCTCCATCTTTCTGCTTGCTCTCATGAGAATGGCAGTGTGCTCAACCTGGCCTCCTGCAAATGGGTGACTCCCTGCCTTCCTGGCTGGCCTGTGCCTTGGTGATGGCTCTCCTGATCAGTGGGGACAGCTGCCCAAGCGCCGTGTCATCTCGCTCTTGCTACATTTGGTTCCTTCCCAACTACCAGTGCTGCTACTTCACGCTCTGCTTCTGGGGCCGGGGAGCTGACCACTACAGGAGGGAAAGCTTCCTCTGTCCAGCCCAGCAAACCCAGGCAAACTCCGCCCAGACATGGGTCTCCTTACTCAACGTCTGCACAGGGCTGCCTCTCCTGACCCTCAGGTGAGTTGGGGGCTTCCTCAAGCAGGACTCACTTTTCCAAACATTGCACCCGGGGCACTGTGAGGCCCCCTGGTAACAGAAACATTAGAAATGCGAGACTTGGTTCTCAAACCAAATCACCTACCTCAAAATACAACTACCTGTATTAAAACCTTAGGGAGTCTGTCTGGAAGGTGACACAGCAAATGATTTCATACAGGTTTTCTAATATGCCTTTTGTGACTTCAAGAATAAAACAATAAGCAACTTAAATTTTATTTCCTAGGACATTCTGATACAATAAAACATGTACATATATCTCAATGAACCTCTGTTTAAATCTAGCACATTTCTACATTTTTTGGAAATATCACCTTTCCTGACAGGACTCATATAATTCTTCACCTTTCACACATTTTATAGACATATATATGAATTTTTAAAAGAATTACCATTAACGCATAGTTGTTTTAGTTTAACAAATGCCGCCTGTATTTCTTGAATGTTTGGCAAGGTCTTATCCAAATCTGATTTGTAAACATCGCTTCTCTGTGGGTGACTTTTAGTTATTGCATTACAAATCCTAATAAAGACAAAATCCTTTAGTCATTATTCATTCGTTTTTAAGCACTTACTATAAGCCAAGATACTGTCCTAACAGATGGAGACAGAGATGAACAAGACAGGCCAAACCCAGGTCCTCCTAGAAGCTACATTCCCAGTGGTGAGCAGGTAAGCAACACGGAGGAAGCAACGCCTGTGGCCAGTGCTCTGGAGGCCTCAGCCCCCTCCAGAAGGCAAGGCCAGAGAAGGTGCTTCTGAAAATCAAGTGCCCACGAGTAAGTGAAGATCTGGGGAAAAATTCCTAGGCAGCAGGAGTAAGATAGTGCCACGGCGCTGTGGTGGAAACAAAATGGAGCTGCTAGAAAAATCCAGGGAAGGCCAGTGAGGCTGAACGACCTGCCTGAGGGTCGGAGACAGGATAGCTAAGATAATCAGTCATGTGTGTGAAGAGTAGGGAAGCGAAAAACACAAAAGGAATTAAATTAATTCTTTGCCTGATAAATACCTAAACTGCCACTGGTTACAGGTTTTATACAGAATTTTCAGACCTTCCCTTTGACAGCCACATTCCTAAGTGAGCACTGGCCAGTGTGCATGTCAGTGTAGAAAGCACGACTTGGTGCATTGCAGAACTGTTAGTTTTCAATGTGACTAAGTGCAACTCTACCCACAGAGAATATGCACTACTGTGAGCTGTAGTGCCCTCCTTTCTGGAAAACAGAGCAGAGAGGGGAGGACCACTTGGGGGTTTTCTGATTCAGCTCATGTAATGATATTGTGGAAAACCACAAAATCTGGCAGTCTGTATATGGACTGCAATGTTTCTGAGGTTCCCTGAGCCTACTTTCTAAGACCTGTTCACGTGCTACTCAATTTGTTCAAGCTCTGAATCAATATCGCAGGTACTTCCCAGGTGCTAACTATGCAACAGTAAAGAATCAGACATAGTCCTAGAAGAAAGGCAAAGATCAAACTGCAACAGACACTCAACTGACTGAAACAAGTGTTATGAGGAAAAGTTAGAGACCTTTATAGGAGGCCTAATCTGGGGGAAGGGTTATCTCAAGGAAGCAGAGAATGAGTCCCAGTGGGCAGGGGTGGTGGGTGCAGTACATGAGCATGACAAGGCAGCCAAGGAGGAGAGGTGACAAGGCCAGAGAGCACGTAGGTGGCTGGAGTCCAGCAAGTGGAACACAGAAAGAGGAAGTGACAGCACCTTCAATATAATGGCAAAGGTGGAGCTAGCTGGAAGTAGAAGGATTTCCAAGCTTTCTGGAAAATGATGTGAGGAAGACTGATGGAAGACTGAAGATGGGAAGGGAAACAAGGAGCACAAAGCTGACATCTTGGTCTGGGCGTGGGCTGGAGACATCACGTGGCTGTAACCTTGATTTTGGTTTTGAACATAGTAAGTTCAAAAGGTCTTTGTGATTTTCATGGGGAGTATTTCAAATTTGACTGGAGAAATAAATGTACTGGTCATTAAAGCCACAGTGCTGTGTGAAACTGCTTAGGTAAGAAATACAGAATAGGAAGAGGGAATGGGCCTTAGGCAGATTCTAGGCGATGTCTGGAGAAAGGACAGGCCTACAGGGGGCACAAAGTGCCAATGGGAACAAGGACTCCAGGAGAGAGGAGAGGACTGGCAGCTGAGGGTCCAGAGGGCAACCCTGGGAGTGGCCAACAGTGCTGTTCCTGCCAGGGCATCTAAGAGAGGTCACAGATGACCTCGGCTGCTGCTGCCACGCTTCCCTGTGGGGGATGCTCAAAACTGCTTTCCTAGCTACTGTGACGCTGCAGACCTTAAAAAGACACACAAGAAACAACGAAGATGAGGAATGTGTGATTTGTCCTGAAGTGTCTCATCTGGACATCATAGCATCGTTCTTTTCCTTTTCGTCCACTTGAAAGGCAGAGGGACCCAGAAAAAGAGACAGATCCTACATCCGCTGTCTCAGTCCCCAACAACCAGGCTGGATCAAGACAAAGTCGGGAGACTGGAACCCCATCTGGGCCTCGCACAGGGTGGCAGGGGCCCAACTTCTAGGGCCACCGTCTGCTCCCTCCTGGTAGGATGCATTAACAGCAGGCTGGGTTGGAAGCAGAGTTGCCAGGACCTCAAATCGCACCCTGATGGGGTTTTGGGTGTTCCATATAATGACTTAAGGCATTGCACAACACCCACTCCAGAAGTATGGAAGATATTAAGGACATGTTACAGCAAGATATAAGTAATATAAGATCCTCAAGTGTCTTTTAAGCCAAAAAGTTAAAACTATATTTAGTATAACTTAAATGTTAGCAAACATATTCACACTGTTTTCAAAAAGGCAATTCTTATACAGAATATATGGTACCAATGAATATGACTACATCGTTTACCAAGTATTTTAAATTAGTAGAGAACTTACTGGACACTTATTTATGACAAGTACAACTATCTAAAACAGCAAGGACCATATCTCAATCACCTCTGGTCAATCTTCCTTTGCTGCAGCACATCTCTGATGAGGGCCATTCGCACAAGGGCACTGCCATTGGAGTGACTCCAGCACCAGAGCTAGGAGAGAGGGAGAATCCTTACTTAGCTGCATGGAAAAGCGGACACCAGTGTTACAGCAACCCCACAAGAAACACTTACTGGCATCCGTCTTCCAACAAAAGAATGAGAAAAGATCTTTAGATCTTGGTCTGCTAATGAACTTGGCACTACGAAGTATTCTGGAAGGCTGGAAGATAAAAAAGCAGTCACACCTAAGAGTGTTGGCATCATGCACTCTGCAACATGCCCTGTAACTAAGCACACGTACCCTCACTTAACACGCACCGCTGAACAGCCGTCGGGGGGAAGGAAGGGATACTGCTGATCCTCACGGGTGTCAGGGACCCAAGGACCATCATCTGTGCCTTCACGGTCACGTTAGTAAGAAGATGGCATCTATCAGGAGCAGAACCAAGGCTTGAACCCGGGATCAATTCAGGATGCAGCATCCCTAGTGATGTCTTAACCTTTAGGTCAAATGTCCAGCCCATATTCTGCCTTCTATTTCAGGGTGCTAATGAATTTGTGACAAAAAAAAAAAGTTCGACAAAAAAATGACAGCACTAGGGCCTGGTACAGTACCTAGCTGCTGAAGTCCTTGCCTTGCTTGCACTGGAATCCCCTATGGGCACTGGTTTATATCCCAGCTGTCCCGCCTCCCATCCAGCTCCCTGCTTGTGGCCTGGGAAAGCAGTAGAGGATGGCTCAAAGCCATGGGACCCTGCACCCAAGTGGGAGACCTGGAAGGAGCTCCTGGCTTCAGATTGGCTCAGTTCCAGCCATTGCAGCCACTTAGGGAGTGAATCAGCAGACGGAAAATCTTCCTCTCTGTTTTTCCTCCTCTGCATATCTAACTTTTCAATAAAAATGAAATCTTTTTTAAAAATGACAGCTGGAATATGATTAACAACAACCCTCAATGAAATAAGAGATCTGGGCAATGACCTGACTTCCAAAGAGCATTGTTTCCATAGCTACAACATTAACATGAACTGGAACATTGTGTGGGCTGGTCAGGCTGACAGCCTAGAACACTGTCAGTCAGCATCATAAGAAGTAGCAACTAAACTGAAGGACAAACACTCACAGAGCCAGCCCCAGACAGAAGCGCAGAGCACCTCCTAAGGAAACATTCTTACCAAAAACATCCAATCTCAATGTGAACTTGCTAGCATTTTGCAGGAAATACAGAAAACAAAGGAGCCTGCACAGGACTGCTGGGACAAAGCATTATCTGTACTATGGAGAACTCTCAGGAACAAATGAGATGGATGGCTCTGTCACACAAAAAATTTAGTCAATTAAAAAAACTGCAAGGTGACTGTGTTTGAAAGGGCCGGGGACATCCCAACCAAATGCAACCTTCAGACTTTGCTCAGGATCTGTCTTAACAAACCACCTGCACAAACCGGTTAACAAGATAAAGTACAAACAAGTACTGGCTAGATAATGACAGGAATCGTGATCAGTTTCTTCAATGGATATTGGTATTGTGTTTATATTTTTTAAAAAGTCCTTATCTATTAAAGCATGCATTAAAACTTACTAAAAACAAAGATTTTACTAACTATACAGCTTGAGTTACCACTGACCCCCACCAGCAGAAAAGCTGTACTTACCACGTGGATATCATGTAACCCTCATTAATAGAACAAACTCTCCAACCCGAAGCCCCAGTCCTCTTCATTTCTCTGTCCCAGTCGGAGTATGTTTCAAACAGCGGAGTTTTTGGGCTGCTGCCACCACCAGATCCACTTCCGCCTCCTCCTCCACTTCCAGAGGGTATTCCATTCATTTTATTTGCTGCAGGAAAAAGCATTATTACTACTCTTTTGCTTGAGTTGCATTTCATGCAGCATTCCCTTCCATTTTTCTGTGCTTCCTGTCAGGTGTATACTTTGTAGTCTGTCCTCTCTGCTTTGTCCTCCAAGCTTCTCAGGAGTCATGATCTTCAACAGCTTCTTCCCCCTACACACCCCTCTGTCCCCCTGTCCTCCATAGGGTCTGTCACTTTCAACAGTCTTCCAACACGCCCATTCTATGGAAGCTATATTCATCTCCCTCATCATGCTGCCCTACACTGTGGGGTAAATTCAAGTCGCTTGCTTGCTTTCTCTGTCTTTTCCCTGGAAGAATGAATGCTCTAACAAGTCTCTGATCTCAACCTTTCCACTGCCTTTCATTGCTCTAGTACTGACTTTTCATCTATCTGGCTCCTCAGTAAATTCTTAGCTTCCTGTATCTACTCAGTTTTCCTTTGAGAAGCTCACAAGGTTCCTTCACTCAGTCTGAATGTTGTCCCCACATGCAGTTTCAACAGGTGGGGCCAGACTTCAAGGCCCTTAGCAAGCAGAGGGGAGCAGCTGTCTTCCAGGAACAGCCTGCAGGCTGGAGTGTGCCTGTAATGTGACTGCAGAGACATCAGCCCAACAGTTGATCAGCGTTATCCAGGCAATTTGGGACAATACATGGAATGACCCGTCCTGACCCAGAGTCTTACTGCCACAGTCAACCGGGGCAAGTCTCCCCACTGACGTCCCTGACAGGATGTTCTAACCGGCCTCAAACCACACAAAAGCTACAAGATACTTTTCCCTGAAATGATGCTTTTACAATGACAGTACAGGGTCCTAAAGCTCAGCACTGTTCATTTCCCACCTGAATCAAGCCAATCGAATGGCTTCTTGTGGTCTTAAGGATTCCTCACTTACATGCTCTGGCCTTAATTTTCCATTATTCCCAATTCTCACCCTCCTTTGTAACCACAACATGTCCCTCATTGTCCCATGAATCTCCCATGTCCACTGCTACTGATTATTTATTAACTCATGGTACAAGGATTTTCTGAGAAACCACCAGGTGTCCAGGTCTGAGAGCAACATGATAACATTTTATCTCTATATGGAAAGCACTAACGCAGGAGCGCGCTGCATGTCTGAGTGCATAAGATGTAGAAGAAACCCTTATCTCTTGCTGGGAGAGGAAGCTGGGGCAGGGAGGCCTTTATGACTTGACCACATCTGAACAGAGTCCTAAAGAAAGAGTCAAAGTTTCCAGGTAGCTGGTAGAGAGCATATTGGTCAGAGAACACAAAACATGGTACAACTGTACGACACCAAGTAATTACATACAGTTAGAGCATTAAGGAGGTAAGAGATTGTGGGAGACAGGTTGGAGGATTAGCTGGGCCTAGACTCCATGTCAGTATTGCCCGAAAGAAAAGCTGCTAGTTCTACATGCCCATTTCAAGTTAAAGTTAAAGGAAAAAAACCAAAATTAAAATGTCAGTCCATCAGTCGCACTAGCCACATTTCAAGTCCTCAATAACCACGTGAGGCTAGCAGCTACCCTGCCAGGCAGCACATGTGACATCACTGGACAGTGAGTGCTACTTCAGACTGTGAAAGGTCTTATGTAATTAATTTTTTGTCCTGCATCGGAATTACTTAGTGTGAGGTCAGTGTTGTGGCACAGCAAGTTAAGCTCTTACTGGAACACTTGTCCAAGTCCCAGCCGCTCTGCTTCCTATCCAACTCCCTGCGAAAACCCCTGGGAAAGCAGAACATGCCCAAACACTAGGATCAAAAATAGAGCACTCATGTGGGAGACCAGCTCCTGGCTTCCACCTGGCTCAGCACTAGATGTTTTGGTCATTTTTAGGGGAGTGAATAAGCAGATGCAAGATCTCTTTTTCCTTTTTGTCTCTCCCTCCTACTGTCACTCTGCCTTTCCAGTAAAGAAAGTAAAGAAAGAAAGGTTACTCAGTGTTTCTGATTGTCACAGACTACTTTAATATTAAGATGCTAATTCCTATATCCTGCATACGCTCCATAGGGGAATGCTTGGGCAGTCATCGCTCTAGAACACAAAACCCGCCTTGAGTCTCAGGCAACCCCCAGTCTCTTCAGAGTATTCAGAACACCAACACAGAGAACTCTGCTGGTTCATTACAAGGTTTAGCTACAGGGAGAAAACCCCGCACGATCAGCTCAGGAAATACAGAAAAACATTTTACAGAGTCCAACACCTGTTTGTGATTCCACCAAAGACAAAAACAAAAAAGCAACCCAGAAAAAAAAAGTTAGCCAATTTGGAATAAAAGGGAAAGGGAATTTTTCTAAGTTGATACAGTATTTATATGAAAAAAAAAAAATGCAGCACATGGCACCTCCCTTAAAAGCAGAGACAGAAATGATCTAGTAACAAGACTGTTGTTCAGCGCTGTTCCAAACGTCCCAGCTGCAGCACACAGGACACGCAAGCGTATGAAGAAAACACCCAGGCGTTTAGTTGAGGTATGCAAATAGACTGGCTACAAATCCCTAGCTCAAAATCTAACACTGTTCTGCATTGCAGCCTTTATTAAGCGGGGCTGAGAATGTGCTACTTGAATTATAAAACTACTTCTCTGTGATTCAGTTTGTAAGTGAAATCCTAGACTTCAGGTTAGTTTAGAGAGATGCCAGTAAATTGACCCAATTAATGTTCAGAATGGCCCTAGGCCACAGGAAACAAGAAAAGTCGACCTGGCCAGGTGGGTGCCTCGCACACATCCCACACCGAGTCCCAGCTGCAGCTCCCGACTCCAGCTGCTCTGCCAGAGCAAACCCTCGGAGGAGCAGGTCACAGCATGAGTGACTGCCTCCTGCCTGTCACAGGGGAGTCTGGGCTGAGTTTTCCTCCCAGCTCAGAATAGCCCAACCCTGGCTGTTGAGCATTTGGGGAGTGAATCAATGCATGGTAGTTTAAGTGAGCATGTTCTCTCTCAAAGTTAAAATAAACTAGTGGTAGCCATATGAAAACAGACTATCCTAGTAATGATATCACAGACCTCAGAAGCGAAAAATAGAGAGCTATGATCACTAATGGGCTCAAATGAGAAAGTGGTTCTAAAAGGGGAAATTCTGAGTGTGTGTGCCAACACAGTTGCACTGCTAAAGGCCCAAATGATTCTGATGCCTGTGGCTGCTTATGAACCCTAATATTCAAGAAAAAATTACAATGCTTTATAACTACACTGGGAATGGAAAAAGAGTGGATAATGACCAAACTTAAAATTCTGACAATGATTCAAATATATTATGCATTTTCTTAAAAATAAAATTTCATGGAAAATCCAATCCCAAGATTTTTATTAATCTAACAGATAAAATCTAAAAATAATTTTTCACTGGAACACATTTTTTTTTATGTGAACCCACATTAATACCTCGGATCTCATCTCAGCATCTGTCAGCAGATTCGTGCGGAGCTGGAGCTGCTGAACTAGACCTGCAGACAATGTCGGCTGGTTTTCAACTCTTTAGTCCAGAAGCATAATCTGACACCTTATTAATTTTATAAGATACTTTTAAAAATCTGTGTCTAATAACAGTTGGATCAAGGAAAGCCGAGTTCTCATGGGTTCTTTTCAGGATGAAACACGGCTCTGGGCTGGGCTCGTGGGTGCCAGTGGGCAGCGGGTTCTGAGCGAAGCCTGAGGGCCCTGCCGTCCTCCTGTACTTGAGGACACCCACAGGAGCACGTGGATGACTGTCCTGTGACGTTGGACATGAAGGAACCACCTCGCCACAGCTAAGGCCAGCCAAAGGATCGCTTTCTTAAGTAACTGCAGGGGTCATCTTCTAATTTTAGATGTGGAAACAGCATTGTCACCTACCTGCCTGCAAAAAGGACTTCTTTAATCCAGTCAATGAATCAACGTGTCATCCAGAAGTTCAAGAGAGGATTATTGGGCATCTTTCACTCACAATTTAATGAATTCTGACTGCAGTGTGTGGAACTCTCAGGCTTCTTTTGATCTTAAAGATGCAGTTTATGCTTCTGTAACAGCATGGAAGGATATTAAAGGATGTTATCCTATAAAGAAGCTTCACAAAACCTTGGCCAGTGTTATGTTTATGAAGTAGTTGTCAAAGGGGCAGGTGCCTGAAGGATCTAGTATAAAAAGCAACTACTGAATGTTTTAGGCCCTAATAATTAAACTGTACCAATAAACTATACAAGAGGAGACAGAGGGACTGCCTGATAGAAAACCCCGCAGCAGAGGAGCTGTTACAGGTCAATCAACTCTTGGCAGTAGTAAGAATCGAAGATGCCCACCTGGGATGAAAAAAACACGAAAAGCAATTTAAAGCAGGCATCAGGTTGCCAACTGCATAGCAAAGTTTACTGTATTTACTTAGTCCGAGTCATTACATTATTGCAGAAGTCATGGCTCTATACATCGGACCAATCTTTTCTACCAGAAAAATAGAAGCATGAAAAAAAGATGGTCTGGTTCAAAAACAAGTTTAGGTGGGAACTGAAGACCATCTCCTTCAGCTCTTAACCCTCTTAGCACCACTCCCCTGCAACTCTGGGTAAGGCTCTAAGACACCTGGTGATGCCCCCTCTGCAGCCTGATGAGGACCCAGGGAACACTGACCTGCCCGTGCAGGATCTAGACCACTTCAAGATAGTAAGTGAATTTACTTTATATTTAAAAAAAACTTAAAAACACAAATGCATTACTCAGGTCTAAGTTACAATTAGTGTACATTTTGATAAGAAAAATTGATAACACTAGTTATCCAGCTTCTAAATTGTACTACAGAAGTCTTTCTGGAAAGCACTGTAATATTTCACATCTCTTATAATGCTGATATCTTTTAAAACAATAAAACTGTACTTACGCAATATGTTGTGTACTGATAATTACATTTTAATGCATTTGCAATACAGCAATGTTTTTATTTTGCAGGCTATTTATCATAAGGTTCAAGGTAACAAAATATAAAAGTGCAGGACAATTACTAGTAGTCTGTAAGATACAGAATGTGCTGGAATGAAGGAAGTCTTTCATCATACAACAAACTGTTTGATTTTCTTCCTTAGACCAATAAAGACATGTGCTCCAATGTAGCCAATGTGCATCTAACAGGAGACACAGCCTTTTTGTTTTCCTCTTTTTACAAGATTCTGAAAAACTAGTTTATTAAAGTCCGCCAGTATACAAACAGAAAGCAGAGACGTATATGAACAGCCCTTGGTGACATAATAGCTGCCCGACGGTGCAAACCACCGTACCTGCACAAAACCGTGTTATTTGGATAATTTGGATAGATGTTCACCTTTCTTCACTCTAACTCAGAAATATTCAGTATTTTGGCTATCTTAACAAAGTCCGCTATAAATGTTTAGTTTTTAATTGTTTCAGCTTTTGTGTGAACTCACACCTTGATAGGAAAGATAATGCTTCTGAACCACTTTTTAATTTTCTGCCAGCGTTCTAAGATTATTTTAGCCTGTGCTACCAATTAAAATGGGCTAGGGATATATGCTTCATCATAAAAGACAAGTCAGCGACTGGAGGTAAAACATTGGACATGATTTTTATAAGCCCACATTTATAGGTTCTTCCTGATCACTTTTCAAGAAATAGTCTGGGGTCTAGCAAAGCGGGAAAAGCCTCTGCCTGCGGTGCTGGCTTCCTACATGGACTTCCCCCTCTGCTCTACCTCCAATCTCTGCTAACGCACCTGGGAAAGCAGCAGGAAACGGGTCAAGTGCCAGGGTCTCTGCACCATGTGGCAGACCCAGGAGAAGCTCCGGGCTTCAGCCTCGCTCAGCCCTGGTTGTTGAGCCATCTGCGGAAGGAACCAGCAGAGGGAAGCTCTCTTCCTTTCTGTGCAACTCTGACTTTCAAATAAATAAATAAATCTTAAAGAAAGACTTTGACGATGATCAGTTCTTTTAGTGTACAGAGTTTACTTATCTAAGAGTTAGGAAACTATCCATTAAAGCTTCATGTACTTCGAGGCTTCTGATAAACATAAGAATAAAATCTATACATGTAAAATTAGTTACAATATTTAATATGTTCATATTTACCTGAATTGTGGTATTTTTTCCCAACATATTCAAATGCAAAGAGTAGCTGAAGGTCTGTTGGCTGGGAATAATGAGCTATTGCAAGGCATACCTAGGAAAAATTCTACATTTAGAATTCGATTTTAACACACTTGGTTAAATGAAATGTACAACAAGGCCTTGGTCCCTGGGCGCATCTTGGAGCAGTGACTGTGGGTACTAGTTACATGTGTTTCTGTCCACCTAAATGTGGAAGCATCCCTTACAGCCAAGCTTCTCACTCACTGCTCTGCCCTCAGGAAACTACCAAATTCTCCAGTCAGCACATGGTAAGTAGTTAGTATGCACTGGGTAAGCTGAATTTTAACTGTAAAGTAATTATATTTCAATAAACAGAACTGGAAAGTCAAAGAAATATCCTCCAAAAGGGCAGTGAGATCATATCCACTCAAAACAAACACAAACACACACACACACACAAAAGCCAACAATTTCATTTTTGGTGGGTTAGAAAGGCATGAATCAAAAAGTCTAATAGAAAAACAACAATCACACACACAAAAATAAATAAAATAAGAAGAGCAAGAAATCCAAAAACACATGGTATAGCAGAGGTATATCAGAACAGCTTGGTGAAGCTCCAATGGTGTGAGGCTACATGCTGTGGTGGAAACAGTCCAGGGGAGACTCTTGCTAGGGAACCAGAGTGAAGCCAACCCCACTCTCAACCTGCTCCTGAGCTGTACAATGATGAGACCCGTGTTTGGTAAAGATAACCTGTATATGTGCTCGGCCTTAACAGGAGCTCCTGTAAGGGAACTGAGTTACTGACTGCTACTGCACAGAACGAAGCCTACAGATCCGACCCAGACTGTGACAGAAAAGCTCTTAAAATGAGCAGAGAAGAAAAATTTAAGGTATTTTCAAGAAGAAGACAGCAAAACTTAAATACGATTAAGTATCATTTAGAAGCAAAACATTTTTGGACGGTGAGTAAGAAAAGCGTGGGCATTAGCTGTGTCAAAGTTGTGGTATTCCAAGTGAGATGATGCAAATTCCAATAAGTGAATGTGTGTCAGTTTGTTATTAACTACACCTCATCAAAGAGCTTCTATGGAATGAATGTTTCTTGTCTAGCTAAATTATAACAAGTAAACAAGGGGTGAGGTTGATCACTACTTTTACCTCAGATAATGTCCCAAATTCTCAGTATCCTTAGAAACTTCTAGAAGGGTCCCACATAGAAAAGTAAGGAGATGGTTCTCCATATTGCCATCCCTACTCTATCCAACATCCTCCTGGAAGTGCTTCAGGAGCAAAGCCGCTGAAATCTGTGCACTGAGTCCTCTCTTGCTATTCCTTTGGTATCACAGTTAGTTTTTAAATTAAATAAACTTTGTTTATAAACTAAATAAGCTTTTTTGTACTTTCATCCATACATTTTTCATACTTGTCCCATTTCCTTATCCTTATCCACTGCCATATCCTTAAGCCATATTTATCTTACAACACCTCAGTGGAATTTCCTACATTATGGAAATGCACAGTACTTCAGAACTGTCTTTGAAAGATGTAATTATGAATAATTTTGTTCTCTGTAGCCTGCTATGTTTCGCAGATACATACACAATAAATTAAATATCCTTAATCTTGACTCATGATAAAACTGGTTTCCCTTACCAGTCCCCCTCTTTCCATGCTGACCGGAAGTGTGTGGTCAGAAAGCAACATGTCTGAACACATTGTCTGATGCAGCTCAGCCATCTCCTCTGTCACCCTCTTCACTAGGGAAATCCTTCCACTCTGGTCTAAGCTTGCTGGGAACTGCCAACTCCATTCAACACCGCTGCCTTCCCAAGCCTTCCTTGGCTGAGCCACTGTCAGAGCATAACTCCAGAAACCCCCCTGTCATCTCCGAATGATGACGATTTCAGTATAAAAGTCTATGTTTTTGTGCTTATGTAGCTGTACTTCCAGCAGTGTAGATTAAAAGCAGGACAAAGGTGGTTGTCATACTCTGACCCTCAAGTTCAATTACATAGGAGGAGATGCCACATTTCTTCCTTACTCGTCAAGCACTACTGAGTACCTACCATGATCAAAGCTTCAAGGAAGTAGGGAATTAAGCAAATTCCTGTTCCCATTAAGCTTACATTCTACTGGAGAAGGCAGAAACTGAATAAGATATACAAGAAAAAAAGGAAATCAGGTAATGACAAGAGCAGCAGGAGGAAAACAAAAACAGCAAGGAAGGGCAATACGAAATGTGACAGTGAGAAAAGAAGGGAGAATACAGACTCAGAGAGAGCGCCCTGCAGACCTGAGACAAGATCTGAAGAGGCGGCATTTCACGATGTTCTGTCAGCCGCTTCCTGAGGGTGCTCTGTGTCTAACGGGCTGTTCTGCAAACCTCCTAGGTCACAAAGTGAGCACTGTCATTCAAGTGCTGCACCTCAGTCAGCCCATCACATCCTCCAAGACAACAGAAAGCAGTCACAAGTCTTGTTTACATAAACAAAATTCAGGGATCGTTGATTAGCCAACTTTTTCTGAAGTCACAAAGCAAAAACTACAACAAAACAAAGCCTACCTGCAAGACCAAACCCAACACCACATCCTATTTCTAACAAGCCCCTACAAACAGCACAGTGTCTCACTGGGTTAGGAAATAAAGGAGAATGTGTAAAATGACCGTGACACTGGGACTCAGTCTAACTGCTCCCACCTGCTGGGGCGGGGAACCACAACTTGGACTAAAGGTACGGTTGTTCAGATGTCAATTCCAAGTAGACGCAGTATTTTCATAAAACCTAAGTGAGGGGCATCTTTGGTTTTACAATGACACAAAAACGGAGTGCCTTACATGGATTACATTCCTGCTGCTATGTCCAACACTGAGAAAGTTAAGTGTTCTTTTCTGAACTTTTTAAAATGAACTACTAAGGACCCAGTGCGACAGTCTAGTGGCTAAAATCCTCACCTTGAACACACTGGGATCCTATATGGGCACCAGTTCTAATCTCCATAGCCCCACTTTTCCATCCAGCTCCCTGTTGGTGGCTTGGGGAAGCAGTTGAGTATGGTCCAAGGCTTGGAACCCCGTGAGCAAGTGGGAGACCTGGAAGTACTCCGGGCTCCTGGCTTTGGATCTGCTCAGCTCCAGCTGTTGCAGCTGCGTGCGGAGTGACCCAATGGATGGAAGATCTTCTTGTCTGTCTCTCCTCCTCTCTGTATATCTGCCTTTCCAATAAAAATAAATAATAAAGGACTATTAAAAAAAACTTGTCAGATTTCTAGCGTTCCTCTGTAAGATTTACTTTTTCAGTTATTCCATAAGCATTAAATCTTTTTAGAAAAACTATATTTAAAAAATGTCTTTGCAATAGGAGCCCTAACCATCATAAGAAGTAAAAAGAATATTTTACTGGAGAAAAAAATTAAAATACTGTAATAAAGGAGGAACTGTGGACGAAGCAGGCACTTGTATCTGGACAGAGCCAGCAGCACTTACAAGTGCAGGGCCTCTCCGCTGAGACCACGTGACACTGAAGGTAGGGAAGTGTGGGTAGAGGAGACACTCCAATCCCAACAAGCCCTATCCCAGTTGCAAACAAAGCCAGTTTCCTTCATTTCTATGGTTGAAAAACTAAAAATTCAGTTAAAATATTCAAGACAAAAATGACCGTTAAGGAAAAAGGCAACAGGTTCTTTCATCAGATGAACCACTCACTCCTAGAAAGTGCACTTGAGTAAGTGGTGGTCCATAAGCAAGAGATTTGAGAAAACAGTTGGAGACAAAGCATGTACATTCTACTTACCAGCATGTAGGACGTGTGCACATGTGTGGCATTAAAAACGGATTTTTTTTTTTTGGTTTTTAAATTTTTACCCTTTAGCTTTGGCTAAAGTCCCCTCCAAAGGAAAGGTGGCTCAATGTTGCCGTGAGGTTAGATGTCCAGTTTGACATCACCATAGTCCATCTTCCTTTACATAAACTCTTCCCAAAAACTGTTACTTTCCCGTGACAATCCAAGGATAAGAGGATGAATATGAATACAGTTGCAGAAAGATCTAATATTGTCATAATATAAATTATGACATCAACTAAATACTCAGAAGGTTTCAGAGCAATATCTAACAAGTATGAACCAATTCAGTATTTTGAGATTATTTCCTATTTCAAACAAAATTCAAAATGCTTTCAGTATTTCAAAAAATAACCACTCACTCACCAGAAAAGTCAAACATACATCTGGTCATGTTAAGACAACTTATTAAAACAAAGCACTTTCCAGAGAGAAATCAGAAAGTATCCAATGTTTCCAGGAGGTAAAAATGAGCTGTAATTTTCCAACAGTTACCTAATTTTAGATGAGAAATTTTACTTGAAATAGAAGAGCATGCCAGTGTTTGTTTCCAACTCAGAAAGCCAACAAATTTTGGTGTTCACACCAAACCAAACCTCTATGTAAAAATATGTGAACCGCAACAACTTATATTCCAATTGCCTCTGCTGTTCTGCATTCCCCGCCCTATGACTAGACAGAAGACACGCTCAGGTTTCAGACTGTAAGACCTGTGAAAGGGCACAAGCTGGGCAGCTCGTGCGGCAGTTCAGAGAGGGCCTCCACTATTCCCTGGCGTACAACAAGCAAGTGATCCCCTGAAATTTTCACAAGATGTTTTACATTCTGTTCACTTTGCAACCAATCCTTTGCGTGGGAACTTCTTTGTCTGCTACTTAGCTGAGGCTTGTCACTGTTTTATCTTCTCAACTAGACCTAAAGCCTGGGAAACAAACTGCATCTTATCCTCTCTTCTGTCATGTGAAACTGAGCATTACTTTCTCACACATAAAAAAATGACCCATTCACTCTTGTGGCTCATGTAACTAAGCCAAATAACTATGATTTCTACTTACTGAGACAGTGTCACCTAGGGCAGGTGACTGGCCTAATGGGTTAACATGTCAGTTGGGATACCCACACCTAACAGGGTGCCTGGGTTCAAGTCCCAACTCTTCCTGATTCCAATTTCCTGCTACTGTACATCCTAGGCCAAAGCAGGAGATAACTCAAATAACGGAGTCCCTGAAACCTGTATCAGTGTCCTGGCCCCCAGCTTCAGCCTGGCTGGGTCTGATCCCTGTAGACATGTCGGGAGTTGAACCAGGGAATAAGAGATCTCTTCCAAAAGAAAAAACAAATGTTTATCGGGAAAAATACAGTAAGGGAGTGAAAGGAGTGATTTAAACTTCCTGAAAGAATATTGAACCCAGTGGTATAAATCGCTTACTCAAAAATATCTTGTCCTAACTGTTTACAAGATCTATGGAGATTTTATATATATATATATATATATATATATATATGTATGTATGTATGTATATGTATGTATATATATGTATATATAAAAATTTATATATATATAAATATATATAAACATATATATTTTAAACAGAAATAATTCTTTTTTTAAAAAAAGATTTATTTTATTTTTATTAGAAACGCAGATATACAGAGAGGAGAGACGGAGAGGAAGATCTTCCGTCCGATGATTCACTCCCCAACTGGTGGCAACGGCTAGAGCTGAGCAAATCCAAAGCCAGGGGCCAGGAGCTCTTCCAGGTCTCCCACACAGGTACAGGGTCCCATGGCTTTGGGCCGTCCTCGACTGCTTTCCCAGGCCACAGGCAGGGAGCTGGATGGGAAGCGGGGCTGCCGGGATTAGAACTGGCACACCATATGGGATCCCAGGCGTGCAAGGCGAGGACCTTAACCACTACATCATCGCGCCGGGCCAGAGATGCTATATATTTTAAGTTAGAATTTTCACAGGCAAGCTTTTGACCCTTTGATCAATTACAGATTTGAGAAAGTAACTTGGCTAAAGTTTTTAACACAATTTACTACTTAACTCTAAAATCTTTCTGTATCAGAAGAGGCACAGCAAACTAATCAAAAGCCCATATCACAATATTAGAATCCAACAGGTAAAGCAAGGTCCTACGAGTTGCCTATTGAACTGTCAATGGTAGTATGCCAAGTGATGGTTATTTAGATACTACTCAAGAGTTTTTAGCCTTAGAGCCCATGGACACACTAATGGACAGTCCACTGTCACGTACTTTCAGATATCCACCTCATGTTGACTTTCTGCAGAGAAACTATTGCTTCTGTTTGCAACTGTTAGAATCACTTTCTCCTTGAAGCAGATGAAGACCACTGCCTTAGGATCTTTTAGACATGCCTTTTTGATATCACCAATAATTTTATTGCAGCTATGAGAAACAAATGTGCCCATTGCTTGGCAGTGCAAAGGCTGCCTCAGTTCTGAGCAGAAGTGACTCCTAGCCCACTGCTGCTGTATTCCCAGCACCTGAGAGTCGACTTGTGGGGAATGCTTCACTGCTCAGCGCATCTGCTGCATCACAGACAGAACAGAGAGGCCTTAGGGCTACAGGCTTCACACTGCTGGCAGAGCCAGAGCAGACAACCAATCAAGTGGAGACTTCTGCCCTTGCATTTTACTCCACGGGCAGCCACAAACATCCCCTGGAAGGAAAGGGGGAAAAGCCAAGAAAAAGTGCCCAGCTTGGAGCAGGTGCTGTGTCACCACACTTTAAGCCCCCACCTCCCTGGAACACCCACATCAGAGTGTTAGTCCGCGTCCTGGCTACTCCACTCTGCAGCTCTCTGGTAACAGGCCTGGGATGCAGTGAACAACGGCCCAGATACTGAAGGTGCTGCCACCCCTGTGGGGAGACGCAGACGGAGTTCCTGTGTGGATTTTTTCCTGGCCCAAATCAGCTGCTGCTGCCAACTGATCAAAGAACCAGAGGATGCTCTTCATCCTCAAAGCATCAACAAACACAAGTCCTCTCCTGTAACTTAACATGAGCTCAGTCAGGCTCTCAGCTGCTCACTTTGTGGTAATGAATTAGAAGCGTTACCAAATCCCAATTACAGCATATAATTCAACTTTTCAACCAAGAATGACATGGGCTAGGAATGGTCTTAATGTAAAAGAAACGTGCATCTCCACAGGCTGATCTGCAACATTTTAGGAGCTGATAAGAAAATTATATAAAGTACTTTAAAGCAGCTGTAAATTAATAATAAAAAAAAGCAGCTGCTAAAATACTTTGCTTCAGCTTTATTCAAGAAGATGGATGATAACTTCCATATCCTCGCCAACACTGAACAAAGGAGACATGAAAATTTCAACACACCAAAAAAGCTGGTGAATATAGTAAAGAACGCAGAAATTGATAAAAATTTAACAATATTTACCTTTTTGGCACTTTCAGGACCTGATTCATCAAAGCGAAATCTGACAATTCTGAAATCTTTACAATAAATAATTAACTCTGTAGGATTAAATTTCAGTTTCTGATTAGGGCCAAGTACTTTCTGCTTCCTCTTGTGGTCATTTACTAAAAGAAAAAAAGGTAGGAAATATGTAAAAAAATTTTTGTTACACTTTGTACTCTTGAAAAGTTCTCAGTGAAAATAATTAGAAGGGCACCCACCACTCAAAAACTCCTTCTCTGCAGACTTGACATTTATCTATAACTTACGTACTTTGGGTAGTCCATTTTAACTCTTTGCTTTTGAAGATATTTTAAAACATACAGTTTCTATACAATCACCACAATTGAGATGTAGTTAATGACTAAATTTTAATGACAAGAACAAAATTTATAAACTATTAAAAGCCACACATTTTGTATCTCCATTTAAAAATAACATTCTTGATTTCTTTCTAATGTTCATGGAACTCAAAAAAAAATAACAGCATCAGTTAACCTATAAGAAATAAAATTCCAACTCATGCATTTAAGATATGACTCTTCAAGGAAAAATTCCAAGCACATAGCATACCTGTGACAATCTGTTCGATACACGTTAAAGGGACATCATGTTCTCCAAGAAGGAGGTTTCTGTAATGGAATTTCTGAAATAAAAAAGCTCACATTAATTCTTTTCTCAATAAACAAACTTATGTTTAGGTGTGAAGGGGAACTGTAGCAGCTGTATCTACAAAGCACAGCAAGTTTTTTTGCACGTAGCTAGCTAGGATTTTCCTGGGGACAGAACACCTTAGAGTAAAGTGCAGTCAGAGTAGGAAGGCAGTCACGGCCAGGCCCTCCACACTCCTACGTGAAAAGGTGAAGTCACAAGTACAGCGCAGTATCGTTCCAACAGCCAAGCACTTCCCAGGCAAACATCCGCATGTCTGGTGCTGGAGAAGCTGGCTATACACTAGCCAAGACAAAGACGTTCCCAGCAATTCCCATTTGAATACAGAAAACCATGCTTGATTTTCATAATAGAGATTTGAGAGTAGAAAGTATCTTTTCAGAGCAGACCACCCACTAGAAAAAAATCTTACAAAAAAAGCTGTTGACAAACTGTAACTCATTTTGCCCTGCTAACAACAAACATTTCATATTCATTTTCAAACTAAGAACAGAGCTGACAGGCACCATCCCTGCTGGCAGCATGGAGTTGGTCCACGCTATTGGTGGTGCTAGAGTTCAGCTCTTCCAGGTATAGGATCCTCATTTACACTGAGGGTTTTGGGATCATAAATCATAGTGATTCATAATGATACATAAGGAAAAACCCAAGTCTACATCCAAATAAATCAGTATCTTTATCTTTGCAATGACTCTGAACACCTCAAATTTAGCTATGACTACAGAAGAATATAACACATAAACAATAACAGACACATAAATTAATGACGGAATACAGGAAAAATATGCACAGTGCGATTATTCATTTATTAGGGTTAATATGCAAGTATTTCATGAGTGAACAATGACTGACACACAGAGATCTCGGGGACAGATACATGTGACACAAATCAAAATTCATCTTCATTTATTTATGTATTTATTTAAAAAGCACAGCAACAGAGTTGGAGAGTGAGTGACAGACACAAGGAGAGAGATCTTTCATCTGCTGATTCACTCTTCAAACACCACAATCGCCAGGGAGGGCCCAGGCCAAAGGGACAGCTTCATCTGGGTCTCTGGCACGGGTGGGCCCTCTGCTGCTGCTTTCCCAGGCCCTCAGCAGGGAGCTGGGGTGCAGGGGGAGCAGCTGGGACTCACACAGGCATGCAATGGATGCCGGCACTGCAGGAAGCAGCTTGACCTGTTACACCACATTCTGACCCCCAGACAAAAGGCCATTAAATTTAAAAATTGAAATTTGACTTCTGGGAGCAAAACAGCTCATTTTTAAAAATAAAAAAATAAAAATAAAACAGGATATGTTTGTTTTTATAAAGTAGTACGATCACAGAACACAAACACAGCAAGGTGTTTCTTTAAATGAATTAATTCTATTGCTTATCAAAGTCCCAACATTCTTCTAAAACTCTTTTGAGTTTTAGTGCATTCTCAACATTATATTTGTCAGATACTTTCACTATAATCTTCCCACAGTGACTTATTAAATAGAATAACATATACTACTGCAGAGTCACGCACCTTGATTGAGTAGTGTACAAACAAAACATACCTGCAAAGGCATCGGGTCGTCCGTAATAAAGGAGATTTTGAAGTTAGTGCAAACCAGCTTTCCCCACAAATCATATTGACTTGTGTCTGATGCAATACATTTTCTCACAAAATTGACTTCATTTACAACAATTTCTCCTTAAAGAAGGAAAAAAAAAGCATAAGTTATAGGTACACCATAAGGTATTAACAGTCACTGCAACCTAGAAGGAGTATTTCAGGAAACTATGACGACGAGAAAAGGTAACTTTCACAGGCTGCTTACCAGCACTCTCAACAGAACAGCCTCCACCAGGCACTTCTGCCCACTCTGAAGGTGTGTAAACTGAGGTAGATGAGGAGAGAAGCTGGGGGCCTAAACTGCTGCAGTCATGGAAGGCTGAGTCTGTTCCTTCTCTGGACTAGAGCCTCTTGTTACATATTTATCTCTGGAGAAGCCATAAGCTACATGCTTTCCTTCAAGCACTCTGACACTGGCGCTTTGCTAACACGTGACCTGCTCTTTCAAACCAGTGTCTCAGAATCAAAGTGAAAGAGTTCAGTTTTACTTTAAGATGCATTACACAGGGTCCAGTATCGTGGCATAGTAAGTCAAGCACCTGGCTGTGGTATGGCATCCCACATGAGCACCAGCTGAAGCCCCAGCTGCCTGTTTATGTGTCTGGGAAAGCAGAAGCTGGCCTCAGTCTGTGAGCCCCTGCACCCATGTGGGAAACCTGAAAGAGGCTTTGGGCTCCTGGCTTTGGACAGGCCCCACTCTGGGCCTGTCCACTCTGAGCCCCACTCTGGGCTCCTGGCTTTTGGACAGGCCCCATGGCACTCATCTGAGGAGTGAGCCGGTAGGTGGACGATCTCTCTCTGTTTCTGTTTCTCTAACTCTGTCTTTCAACTAAAAATAAACCTTTTTTAAAAGCTATATTACATAGGGCCCTGCGTGGTAGCCTAATGGCTAAGTCCTTGCCTTGCATGTGCCAGGATCTCATATGGGTGCTAGCTTGTGTCCCAGCTGTTTCACTTCCCATCCAGCTCCCTGCTTTTAGCCTAGGAAAGCAGTAGAGGATGGCCCAAAGCCTTGGGACCCTGCATCCGCATGGGAGACCTGGAAGAAGCTCCTGGCTTTAGATTGACTCAGCTCTGGCCTTTGTGGCCACTTGGGGAATGAACCAGTGGATGGAAGATCTTTCTCTCTGTATCTCATTCTCTCTGTATATCTGACTTTCCAATAAAAAATAAAATAAATTAAAACAAAAAAATACCACCTCAACCATAGTTGAGCACTGGCTTGATTGTATCACCTTGCTCCTGACCCAGTTTCCTGCCAACGTGCTTAGGAAGGTAGTAGAACATGGCCTAAGTGCTGGGGACCCTGCCACCCATGTGGCAGAGCGCAGTGGAGTTTCTGGCTCCTGGTTTTAGTCTGGTACAGAGTTGGCTTTGTGGCCATTTGGGGAGTGAATCAACAGATGGAGTATCTGTGTCTCAGCCCCTCCTGTCCCCTACCTTTCAAGTAAACCAATCTTTTAAAAAGAAAATCTTAAATGACTATGATGCACAGAACCTGTACAAAGTCATTGTAACCCACGAAAAATGAAACTATAGTCTTAAAATAACCCACCAACAAAAATGCTGTAATAGATTTGAATTACAGTAACTTTTATTCAAAGTCCTTGAAAACGTGGAAGGCTGGTTCTAAGAACAGCTCCCATAACTTACTTGCAGCTTTAAGTTTATTCATGCCAAATTCTTGGATCCAGTCACGTGGGTCCCTTTCCATTCTAAAGACCAGCTTCCTTCATACAGCCACTCGGGCCCTGCACACTTAGCCACCATCCTCTTGACCCACAACAGCCTTCTATTCATCCCAACACAACCCACATGGTTTCCATCCACGGGGACCTAGGGACAGCTTCTCCCTCGGGACAGCCTTCCCTCCTCCCTCAGTGCGGTCACTGTCTCAGCACTACCTGCTCTTCCTGCCTGCACTAATCCTCCTTCCATTCCATCACACAATTCTAACACTCATCAGGGCTACAATCTTACACACATGGGGACCTCAAAAACTTAAAATCAAAATTATTAGAAAATGATCTTAAATTTCAGTGTTTTGAGGGACCAAAGTAGACTCATCTTTTAACTCTGCCATGAGCATTTTGAAGTGTCCTCATCTGTGCTTTCTGTAAATGCCTGCCTCACCCTCAGGGTTCCACGCTCCAGGAGGTAGCAGACAGACTGATTTCTAATCAACACTGAGATGTTAGCACACTGCGAAGATAGCGTCAGAGCCTGTGAAATGGGTGTTGAGCACACGGAGGCCTGAAGCCTCTGCCCAACACCACACTCACCACACAGCCACCACCAGCTGGACAAGAACTGCTCCACAGAGGACAGAGATCGGTAATAACGGCCAAGCCACTAGGTGGGCTTGAAAGAAAAGGGCCATGTGGGTACACACACTGAGCAAAGTCACAGAATTACATGTGCAGAGGACACTGAAAAATTAACCAAGGGGAATATCTCTCCATTTGCTGTCTGGCTCTTTAGCCTGTAGTGTAGATGTTTTCCCTAATAAACACATACGGGGTTTGTTGGACCCAAGGAGGTGAAACCACTTTCTTACAGTCTTAAAAACAGCAAGAAGCAAATCTGGCACGTACATTTCAATATTATGACTACAAATCCAACAAATGCATCCGTACAGTCACACAAATTACTAAGTGTGTTATAGTGAGATACAGCAAAGTACTAGTCTTAACTAGATTCTAATGAGAACAAAAACTAAAAACTGCAGACATATGACAGAACTCACTGAATAATTCAAACACAGTATTTAAATCTTCGAAACCTCCCTAAACAGGAAGTTTCCCAAACACTCGTATCCAGAAACCTTTCTCTCCACCAGTAAGGCTGAGCTTGTAAGTGGGCCTTTGACTTGAACAACGAACCCAATGACTCTTGGTTCAGAGTTAGAGGACATATTCCTACAGCACAGATTCCCTAATGCCAAAACAACAGGCTCCAAGTATGCCCCAAGACCTTACCTTACACTGCACCGCCTCCCTTACTTGGCTAGAAAAGGACTCCTGCAGCCATGCTGCAAAAATTTAATACATATTTCTTATGTGTTACACATTTATTTAAAAGCTGAAACAGGGCTGGTGCTGAGCAGCCAGCTGTGACATCAGCATCCCACATGAAAACGTGCTCAAGTTCCAGCTGCTCTGCTTCCAATCCAGCTGCCTGCTGAGGCTGACTGACTCACGCTGGAGCTGGTGAGTTAAGTGACAGCTCTCAGAATTATGTGAGACGAGGCTCAGAAGATGCAGTGAGGCACTGCACCCATGGGCATGCACTTTGTTCTGCAGTGTCACCACACCCCTGGAGCTCAGCAGCATACCCCAAGCTGTGACACCAGACCACCTTTTCTGGAAGATGTGTCCACAAGAGCTGATGTCAAAAGATTCCTTTCTCATTAAACAGCTCAGTTCGCAGCAAAAAATGCTTCCTGCTCACATAACAATCTTCTGATAATTTTGAAGAAAAAAGCGTAAGCACTGCTACACTAAGCTACTGCCACATACTACAAAGCGGTGTGGGGCAGAAACCCAGCTAACAGAGAAGGAAAAAAAGGCAGAGAATGGCTGCTTCATAGTCACACCCACAAGAGAAGAGTACTTCGACTGTCCTGGTTTACATCTTAAATATTAGTGTGGAGGAAGAAACTCATAATGATGGCCCAGGACCCTGCAGGCCTCCCATGCAGGTGCAGGAACCCAGTTCCCTGAGCTATAACTGTTTCCTGGGGAAGGCTGGAGCCAGGAGCCAGGAATAGAGTCTGGGCATTCTGGGACATGGGTGCTGCAATCACTAGGTTAAATGTCTACTTCCCAACCTGCGGTTTGCTTAGGATGACCTACTGCGCCAGTTCATCCAGGAGGGAGGTGTTTCTCCATTATCTGAATTTTTAGCACTAAAACCAGGTCAGTCTCAGGTAAACTAGGACAAGTTCGTCATGTCAGTTTCAGATAAACTCAGGAATCAAAACAGCCTAAGAGGCATGATGGGAGGAGAAGGTATGTAGAAGACAAATACAAAATGTCTAACTCTACAAGTCTTGGTCACACAAAATACAAAAAGCAGGTTCCCACGTACCACAGCAGGTGTTACCCACTGCGGGGCGGGGCCTCAGGAAGTGACTAAAAGACATTTGGAAGACAGAAGGGGGAGAGGGTTACAGTAACAGGAAGAAGGCATCTGAGAGCAAGCGAGGAATCTGCCTGATGAAAGTCAGTTAGCATTAGCAAATTGCAGAAATCAAATAATTTGGATTTTTATCCTGGCTTATCAGGATTGTACTTATGGAGGCTCATGGGGAGGTTTTTGTTGTTGTTGTTGTTGTTTGTTTGTAGGTTAGAGACGCACCGAGAGAGGAAGGGACACATTCAGAGTTTTGCTCCATGTGACAGCTCCCACTCTAGACGGCCTGAAGGGCCAGTGCTGGGCCAGGAGGAAGCCAGCTATCAGAAACTGCACCCAGGTCCCTCACATGGGTGGCTGGGACCCAAACACTTGGACTGCCTTCTATTGCTTTTCCTAGGCCGTCAACAGGAAACAGGATTGCAAGTGGAGCAGTCAGAACTCAAACTAACACCCATAAGAGATACCAGTGTCACATGTGGTAGCTTAACTTGCTACATCACAATGCCAGTCCCTAAGCAGTTTCTGAGCTACAGTGGCAAGCTACAAAAAAATGAGGGTGAGGCACTTGGATGGAAATGAAAATGATGGTGAACATATGGCAGCAGAGACCTAAGAGACACCTGCAGCCATCTTCAGGTTCTACAGGTTTGGCAAACACCGAACGCTAGAACACTACAGCGGATGAACTGTCCACTGCTCTGAGGGTGCCTTACAAGCCCTTCCGTCTCTAAAAGTAACATGTTTGGGCCCAGTCCAGCAGCCTAGAGGCTAAAGTCCTCGCCTTACACATGCTGGGATGGCATATGGGCGCCGGTTTTAATCCAGCAGCCCCACTTCCCATCCAGTTCCCTGGCTTGTGGCCTGGGAAAGCAGTAGAGGACGGCCCAAAGTTTTGGGATCCTGCATCCACATGGGAGACCCGGAAGAAGTTCCTGACTCCTGGCTTCAGATCAGCTCAGCTCCGGCCATTGCAGACAGTTGGGGAGTGAATCACTGGACAAAAGATCTTCTCTGTCTCTCTTCCTCTCTGTATATCTGCCTTTCCAATAAATAAATCTTTTTTTTTTTTAAGTAACATGTCCATGATTTTAAAGACTATAAAAATCTACAATCATCTGTAAAACCTATCTACAAAAAAATGACTACTCAAACTATCTAAAAATATCCTTTGTCTTTTAGGAATCCACAATCCAACTGAGGAAGCAAGTCTGCCGGTGAGGCAGAAAACAAGAACAGTTCATAAATGATCCAGCAGGGCATACACACACCACAAATGAGACAGCTACACAAGAGTGGGGACGCCATTTCCAGCGGGCCAGCCCATGGCTGCATGCACTTCTGATGCCATCACAAAGGGCTGTGACAATCAGCTCATTCACTGTCAACAGCCCCAACACTGAAGACGCCATTAGCACATCCATGGGCAGAGAAGGCACTGAGCTGACACACAGCCTTAGCTGGCACAGTCACAATCATGCAGCAGGCAGTCATGGCTCAGAATAAGGATTTCCTGGGAGCCTTTTCTGGCATCGCTGCCCCTGTCACCCCACCAGGCTTAGGTGACCTTCCCCCGGCTCTCACAACCTCTGTTTTCTTTTGCTGCCACAATTCCCAGGGAACTGAAACTAATGGGCAGGAGCCCACCTCTAGAACCCTTCTGGCTCTCTGCCTGCGTGCCACACCTGCAGAACAAAGTAACATACTGCCACTAGCTGGCTAGCCCTCGCATCCAACTCCTCTCCCTCCCACAGGTCCTTAGAATGAGCACGCCCTGCTGGAGACGCAGAGACCTTCAAGTCCTGCCTACTGGAAATCCTACACGCTTGTCACAAGGATGCCCCCGACACGCCCAGCCTTTGCTTCACAGCAGCTGGCAAGAGGAACGCCACGGCTTCCCATTGCATTCCACTTTCTGGGGTCTGAAAGGTCCTCCTCCCACTGTGTCAGGATCTGTCACTGCTACAAAAAAGACACAGCCAAACACGGGACTCTGGCTGACATGAGTTCTGCCCCCGAAAAGGTCCCAGGGACACACCTGTGCCCTACTGTCACCAGGGAAGCCAGGCAGGCTGTGCTGCAGGGTGGTTAGAGGCACAGGTTAGCAGCTGGGTACCGAACCTCGGCACTGCACCTGAAAACTTCTTACCCTCTGCAAACTGTAGCTTGCTCATCTGTCTGACGAAGATAAAACAGTCTCTGACCTGACAGAGCTGTCAAAAACTCAGCTACTATCACCATTGTTAAGTAACATACACGCCCCAGGGCCGTTACAAGAAAAGAACCTCAGAACACACATGGGACGAAGGCTCCTCTCTTCTCCGCTGCATCACTGTGACCAAGGTTGGCAAATACTTCATCTGGAACTGATGCCAGGCCCTGGCTGCCCTTCGGCAGCCCCTCACCCAGGTCCCAGACTTCTACATGGTCCCCAGCAGCTCAGAGTACTGGCTGTGACACGCAGCCTCCAGTACCCTGCCCAGGTGGCACAGAGCCTGGCAGCACACACACGGATGTCCTCTGCAACTGCTCCACTAGTCCAGCAGCCAGCCAAGAAAGGACAGGCACAGACTGACAGCGCATGCTCTTACCAAATATAGGCCAGAGGAGAAATACACCTACATTTACACACACACATTTTAGAATTCATACTCTATCCATGCAAAGTCCTGGAGTGACTATACACAAACATAATGAACCAGAAAGAGATTCACATACTGGAAGATGGAAGATAAAAAAAGATGGAAGATAAAATACACCATAGCTAACTACTTTCACAGACTACTGGATTTCAATCCTGAGCTCAAACAGAATTCTTACAAGCTGCTTAGCATAAAGTCAGTCAGTGTTTTATCTCTAGATCTGAGGGTTGATCCAGTTTGCGTACATGGCTAGGGTAACAGTGTGGGCAACTGGTCTGAGGTGTCCTTTCATCCACTCACCGTGCAGTAAACATCTCAGTGTGTGTCATGTTCTAGAACCTACGTTAGACATCCAGACATCTGAATTAGGTAAACACCACACAGGGTTTTATGAAGCAGGAAAGTTGAAAATTACTAACATAAACCACAACTGAAATTAAATTACTAATTGTTTTCTTGTTTTTTTATTTAATAAAAGATGAAGAACACTTGAAATTTGACCTTATTACATCCCAAAAGAACACATGGTGCCTGCACACAAATAAACAATTGATTTTGTGTTCTCATTTTCATCTGCTTACTGAATTAAAAGTTCAAACTTCGGGCAACTAAAGTTAGATATCCTAGGACCCAAGGCACCATGCCAAGGCATAGCACGCAATACCATATTTCTGAACAATTACTTTTTGTCCTGCATGCCTGGGTAAAGCCACAGGTAACTTGGTTATGCTTTCTCTTGATTTCTGATGTTAATAAAGGCCAGAACTACACTCTTCAATCCTTTAGCAAAAACCCTAGCATAGGTCTTCCTACATGTAAAAGGCAAAGTTGCAGAGAAAGAAAGAGAAAAAAAAATTTCCATCTGCTAGTTCACTCCCCAAATGGCCAGAGCAGCCAGGGCTGGCCCAGGCCAAAGCCAGGAGTGTGGCACTTCATCCAGGTCTCCCACATGGGCAGCAGGCGCTAAGCATTTGGGGCATCTTCTGCTGCCTTTCCAGGCACATTAGCAGGGAGCTGGACTGGGACTTGAACTGGTGCTCACATGGGATGCTGGAGTTGTAGGGAGCAGCGTATCCGTTATCACACCTGCAAGCCCTGGCCTAGGTCTGCAGAGCACCAACATTTCCGTTTTAAACCACTAGTCCTTCAGATTTCAAGGGTAAGGGTCAAGAGGAGCAAAAGAGGTTCCAATGGTGGCCCAAGAGGTGGGACAGGAAATAAGACCACAACAGCTGGTCAGGGAGAATGTATCCAGAAAGGTACAGCAAGGCCAAGGTGGGAAATTCATAACAGGGTGGGTCAGGAAGGAGAGCATAAGAAACAGGAATCTGGGGGTTCAGGGTTCCGTGAGGACAGGTCAGGGTGGAGTGCTGGATGGCAGAGTCACGTACAGTTGTTGGCATGCACAGGTGGAAGCTGTGATATGGAATTCAACATACACACAAAATTAACATGGGTCACTAAAAGAGCCAGATTTGACTATTACTCGTAGGAGAAGTAAACCACTTAGTCAGAACCTGGGTATAAAACCATTCTCAGAAAACTTACTTTCCTGTAGAATGGTGAGTTTTTAGTAAATTTTACAGAATTATCCCTTCAATGAGCAATCTCAAGTTTAGTAACAGTTCTCATGAACCTATCTTAAAATTGAATGCTAATGTTAAAAAACCAAGAACCTGGTTTGGAAGTGAAGGCCATCTGTCTGTTGGTGCCCAGGGGTTGTCTAAGGTTGTGTGGGTTGTCTAGAGGTGTCTGGGTTGTCTGGATTGTCTAGGGGTTGTATAGGCTGTCTAGTTATTGTCTAGGGGTTGTGTGGGCTGTCCAGGGGTTGTCTAAGGTTGTGTGGGTTGTCTGGATTGTCTAGGGGTTGTACAGGCTGTCTAGTTGTTGTCTAGGGGTTGTCTGGGGGTTGTCTAGGTTGGCTGGGTTGTCTAGAGGACAAACGTTTCCCATCACAGCCTGCTCAGCACCTGTGCAACCGAGCCCAAACAGGAGCACGCACAGGAGCAGGGCCTCTGCAGGAACTCTGCTTTTGCCTCTAAGGAAGGGCACAAAGCATAAACTGGTGGACAGTTGGATGAAAAGCAGTGAGAAAACCAGGGAAAAACACTTGTACCTAACTGCATAGTGGAATTATAAAGGTTAAGGCTGGTATTCACCACATGGAGCCAAAAGTTGATGTCTGTAATATGCCTATCTCTTCACATTACCACCTACAAAGCTCCAATGAATACACTCCAACGAATAAACAGCGGTGGCTGTTTACATAATGACTGACATTTTCAAACCTTGAGAGAAGCCTCACAAACTGGCATCTCATTATATCTCAGGTTTCAGACTACCTTTCTCAAATATTTGGCTCCGCCTCCCAACAATCCTACGAAACAATGGCATTTCCCAATTACAACTGACACACAACTCAACATGCTAATTAAACAGTTTGTATGCTCTAAAAATCACCTGTCTACTACCAATCCTTATCCTATCTCTGAAATCCTGCACAGCAGATACTGTTCTACAGCAGTATTTCTTAACCTGGGGAGTCTGTTCGTCAGCAGGTGTGCAGCACACACACACACACACACACACACGCACGCACACGCACAGCAACGTCTGGGCACATTTAGTTGCGGTAACTAACTTGTAGCTACGTGGCGGAGCTGGGCAGGGGCCAAGGATGCCAGCTAACAGGCGCCAGCTCCCTCAACCAAGAATGACCCGGCCCCAAATGTCAACAGTGCCCTGGGAAACCCTGCTCTCAGCCGAAACCAGTACACTTGCAAATACAGCTGACAGCTTCAAAATACAGCTGCCAAGTAAGGAACTCAAAGTTCACAGAGCTTTAGCACAGACACAGACATAACGCAAGCTGCTTCCCAACCTATCAAAATGCATTAGAACAATGATCCGCTCATCACAAAGGCATGCCAGTGCCTACAGAACTGAAGGGCAAAGTACCCAGGCAGGCAGAGACACACTGTCAGGAGACAAAAGAGAGAGCTAGTGAGAGGTCGAAACTTCCAACAATAAACACTGACCAATATTACCACTGTGGTTGCGGCCCTTGTAGTTCCCTAATCAACTCCTTCCTTCCCGGTCCTTAGCTTTTTAACAGGAGAAAGTTTAAAAGAGCACGGCGGGGTGGGGTGGGGTAGGGTGGGGTGGGGGTTTAACCATATCACAGTCCTGCTCCCTACAACAACCTTCGATCCAAACACGTGACCAAAGCACCTGCTAGAACTCTGAAAGGTTTTACCTGGCAAAAGGACTGGCTCCAGTTTTTTGATCTTCGGTTCCGAATCGATCTTATCGTCGGTCTGAAAGACACAAACCACATCAATCAACCCGCCCCTACGCCGTGAAGGCAGATCTGTGGCTGAGCGATGACACACGCAGCAGACACACACACACTTTTCCCTGCCACCCTCCCCACCCCACTGCACCCTCGAGTAACTTAAAACTTCCACATCTTCACGTTTTGTTTAAGATGTGTTTAAGACAAGACGTTGAAAACAGCTGGCGCCAGTGGCAAGCGCTCCCCTCTCTGACAGGTAAACTCCCCTACCAGGGGACGCAAGTGCTGCCGTCACGGGGCAAAGTAGAGATGACAGAACTTTCGGGGAGAGAATGGCTGCCGCGGAGTTTGTGTATGTGTGTGTTTTAACAAGCTTCCCAGACTCGGGGAGACTTCCCGAGAGGTCAGCTCGGGCCGCGCGCGGCCAGGGGCGGGGAGACGCGCGCAGCCTCGCGGGGTGCCCGTGCCGGGGTCTCCCCGGAAGCGGGGCGTCTTACCTGAGGCGGCGGCGGCAGGAGGTAGGATCTGAAGGTGGGTCTGGGCGGCTTGAGCGAGAACATGGTGCCGCCGTCCTGTGTGCCGGGCCCCGTGGCGGGCCAGCGGCAGCGCCGACGCCTCCCGACGGACGCCTCGAGTTTCCGAGTGCCCCGCGCGGCCGCCCAGGCCCCGTCTGCGGCCGGCCGGGCCCGGCGGACTGTCGGGCGGGGACTCGGCGGAGCGCCCGCCCGAGCGGGGAGGAGCCTGGGCCGAGCCGCACCGACGCGGCGCCGGGGCCCATCCCCGGAAGGGCCCCGAGAGACGGTGCGGGCGCCGCCCCCGGCCTCCGGAACCACGGACTGTGTCACGGGGGGTGGCGGGGAGGAGGGCAGCTGCCCGGCGCTCAGCCCGGGCGCGTCGGGGCGCCGGGCCCAGTGGCCATTTTGAGAGCGCGGCTTCGGGAGGGCGCCCCTACGGCGGCCCGCTAGGGCCAGCCAGGGGCCCCGGGACCTACGGCGGCTCGCGGGGGTCAGGGTCACGGCGGTGTCCAGGCGGCTGCGGGGCACTGGCGGAGATGAATGCGCACTGTGTCGGCACCCTGGACTGCTGTTCGCGAGCTGTTTTCCGGAATCTGCGGGGACGGGGACGCTGGAGTCCTGAGTGGGGCGGCTGGACCAGCGGCTCGCGCGCGGCGCGGGCAGTACCGCAGGTGTTAAAAGCCCCTCCACTCCTTGCGGAAGCGTCCGGTTAAACTTTGAGGGAGACGGGCCCTCGGGTCGTTCGTCGGGTTGCTGGTTTCCTTGTGGGGCGGAGGCTTGCGCAGTGCTGCTGGGCCTGGGCAGGTGACGCTGGCGGGCCCCGCGCACTCCCGTGTGAGTTGATGAAGTTTTACCATCCTTTGCCACGTTAAAGGCAGTGCGGAACCCAGGGGCTCTGAGTCAGGGGACGCTAACGTCCCCGTGAATCTGGTGGTAGAGATGGACTCGTTCCTATACTTTGACAAGCAAAACCCCAAATGCGGCATTTTGTGATTGCTGTCAAGGAGTCCACTCTGATCGTCGTGAAGGTTACTGTCTTTCTGCGGCGAGCTGCTTATCCGGCTTCATTTCTCAGATGGGTCTTTTAGCTGTTGCCCGCAAACTATACTTAAAAAAAAAAAATTTATTTATTTTTAAAAGGGAAGTCAGATCTACAGACAGAAGGAAAGATGGAAAGGTCTTCCAAAAAAAAAAGAAGGAAAGATCTTGTATCTGCTGGTTCATCCCCAAGTGGCCACAGCCGCCAGCTGAGCCGATCAGGAGCCTCGAGCCAGGAGCTTCCTCTGGGTTTCCCACGTGGGTGCAGGGTCCCAAAGCTCTGGGCCGTCCTCGACTGCTTTCCCGGGCCACAGGCAGGGAGCTGGATGGGAAGTGGAGCAGCCAGGACATGAACTGGCACCTGTATTTGAGATCCCAGCACATGCAAGGACTTCAGCCACTAGGCCAGACTACCTCACCAGGCCCAACTATGCTTATTTTTAAACATTTGTTTTGAAGCTGTTTAACATGTTAACTCCATTGGATTATAGGTGTTCTAAGTAATGTTGTGCACATTTTTTAACTGAATGTAAATTTTATTAAACAAATTTTTGTCTCAGTAAATACTCTTAAGGCATTCTGTAGGTTTTTCTTTATACTGGAAAAACTCTAGAATTTTGTTTTTCTCAGGCTCCACAACCCTGAGACCATATAAACAAAAAGTACAACTCCACTCTCCGGTTTTGTTGTGATATCATCCAGAACCACACACCTGCGACTTAGACCACAGCAGATGCTTGTCCCAGTTGTACAGTCTGGAAGCCCAGCATGAAGGTGCGGGCCTGGTGCTGGCTGCTTGGTTGGTGCAGGACCTGCCTTCTCACCCAGCGCCCGCATGGGGTGGTGCTGGGATGGATCACGGGATGAGCTCTGTGGTGGCTCTTCCTACGGATTCCTATTGGATTAGAGCCAGCACCCATAGGCCCTCGTGGAATCTGACTTAGCACCTAATGGCTCTGCTCCCAAGTGGAGTCTGATCCAGGGTTAGGGTTTCACTGGACATACGGGGGTGCAGGGCGTACACATTTCAGTCCACAGGTTGGCTCTCTGACCACTGTGCTGTTGACACATCTGTCATAGAGAATGGTGACATTCCTTAAAGATGACCTCCTGTTCAGGAAAAGATCACCCTTGAGCATGTTTGGTGCTAAGTGTTTTGTATATTCACTCAGTTCCTTGGCAAATTTGTTTTGAGTGCTAAGTTTGTGTGCAACAGTAATCAGGCCACAAAAAAGAGAACAGTCCTACTTTGATGACATTTTCCTTTTTTAAAATATTTATTTTTATTTGAAAGAGCTACTGATTGTAGGAGAGAGAGCTTTTCCATCTGCTGGTTCATTCCCCAAGTGGCTGAAATGGCCAGAGCTGGGCTGGGTCTCCCACATGGCTGTAGGGGCCTAAGGACTTGAGCCATCTTTCAGTGTTTTCCCAGGCCGTAAGCAGAGAGCTGGATGGGAGGTGGAGCAGCTGGGACGTGAACCTGTGCCCATATGTGATGCCAGTGCCACAGGTCATAGCTTAGCTTACTATGCCATGGTGCCAGCCCCAGAAAGCATTTTCATTCTGGGTAGAAAGGTCTAGATAATATCTAGATCCTGTCAGGTGGTAGCAAGTGCTCTGAGGAAGATTAAGCTGGGAAGAGAAACTGTTCTGTTTTTCAGGAGGAACCAGGTGTGGTTCAGGGAAGTCCTTTTTGATTAGGTCTTGAAAGAGCAAGCCAGGTGCACCTCAGGACATTAGGGCATAGGGGATGGCGGTGCAGATGGCCTGAGGTGAGAGTCCTTGGGGCGGGACTGAGACCAGTGTAGTTAAAACTGCCTAATTCAAATCTGTCAAGCTGAGAGCAGCCATTGACATTGGAAGGAATAGCTGCCTTCCTCAGAAGGTGCTTGTTAGGGGCTAGCATAAGGGAACTGCAGGAGCGGATTTATAGATAGAAGGAGACAGAGCTTCCATTTACTAGTTCACTCCCCAAGTTGTCACAATGACCAGCGCTGAGCTGATCTGAAACTGGGAGCCAGGAGTTTCTTCCAGGTCTCCACAAGGGTGCAGGGACACAAGGACTTGAGCCATCCTCTGCTGCCTCCTTTGGCCATAAGCAGGGGACTAGATGGAAAGTGGAACAGCTGGGACATGAACTGGCGCCCATATGGGATGCTGGCACTGGCAGGTAGAGGATTAGCTTGTTGAGCCATCATCCCTGCCCTCTGCAGGAACTCTTGAAACTAACCTTCTAGACTTCCCTCTCCTGTGACAAGACCTCCCACCTCCAAACCCTGCCCTGCCTCAAGGACAAACTGCAAGATGCTGGAGGCAAAGCAGAGAAATGGTCCAAAGGGAAATAGAGATCCAGGAAATCTCCAACAGCAAACTGACGCTAAGCTTTAAAATTACCCAATAAAAACAAAGTTCTTGGTGAAGTCAGAAAAACTGGCTGACTTCAAAGCTCAGGGAAATCCACTTCACGTAGACACCACAGACTCAGGGAGATCCACTGCACGTGGACACCACGGACTCGGAGAGATCCACTTCACGTAGACACCACAGGCGCAGGGAGATCCACTGCACGTGGACACCACGGACTCAGGGAGATCCACTGCACGTAGACGCCACAGGCTCAGGGAGATCCACTTCACATGGACACCACAGACTCAGGGAGATCCACTGCACGTAGACGCCACAGACTCAGGGAGATCCACTTCACATGGACACCACAGACTCAGGGAGATCCACTTCACGTAGACACCACAGGCGCAGGGAGATCCACTGCACGTGGACACCACGGACTCAGGGAGATCCACTTCACATGGACACCACAGACTCAGGGAGATCCACTTCACATGGACACCACGGACTCGGAGAGATCCACTGCACGTAGACGCCACGGAGTCGGAGAGATCCACTTCACATGGACACCACAGACTCAGGGAGATCCACTTCACATGGACACCACGGACTCGGAGAGATCCACTGCACGTGGACACCACAGACTCAGGGAGATCCACTTCACATGGACACCATGGACTCGGAGAGATCCACTGCACGTGGACACCACAGACTCGGGGAGATCCACTTCACATGGACACCACAGACTCGGAGAGATCCACTGCACGTAGATGCCACAGACTCAGGGAGATCCACTTCACGTAGACACCACAGACTCAGGGAGATCCACTGTACGTGCACAACACAGGCACAGGGAGATCCACTGCATGTGCACACCACAGGCGCAGGGAGATCCACTTCACATGGACACCACAGGCGCAGGGAGATCCACTGCACGTAGACACCGCAGGCGCAGGGAGATCCACTTCACGTGGACACCACAGTTGCAGGGAGATCCACTGCACGTGGACGCCACAGACTCAGGGAGATCCACTGCACGTAGACACCACAGGTGCAGGGAGATCCACTGCACGTAGACGCCTCAGGTGCAGGGAGATCCACTTTACGTGGACACCACAGGTGCAGGGAGATCCACTGCACGTGGGCACCACATGCTCAGGGAGATCCACTGCATGTGCATACCACAGGCACAGGGAGATCCACTGCATGTGGACACCATGGGCTCAGGGAGATCCACTTCATGTGGACGCCTCAGGTGCAGGGAGATCCACTGCACTGGGAGGCACGGGAGTCGGATGACTGCTACTAAAGAGTGAGGTCAGAAGAGGTTCAGCCCACGGACAATGAGTGCACACCCAACTTGCCCATGATGCAGATAGGAACCGACAGCCAGGATTTGAAAGTGAGCCAAATGATGCTAAGACAATGAGACAGGGAGACTTGAAGTAAATTCAGAATTGAACTAGAAATAAGGAAAATATATTTCTGAAATGAAAACCAAAAGAAACCCAAGGCCAAAAGCACACAAATGAATACATTCATATGACATATATAAATATATAATGAAGGAAATTTTTAAAAATCAGAACAAAGAAGAAAAATAAAGCAGATAAGATGGGAAGTACAAATATTGAAAACAAGCTAATGAGAGCCAACGTACAGATAATAGGAGTCAGGTCAGGAGCTGCAGGAAGCTGGGCAGCAAGCAGATACTCTGTGCTTCAAGAAAACTTCCTGGAAATTAAAGATATGCTTGAATCGGCAGGTTGAGAATTCTATCTGAGACTATTAACCTCAACTTACCAGCACTAAGACACAT